GATCCAAAGTCTATCAAGTCGTCTTCATCACTATCGCCGATCGCAAAATTGTCAACATCATCCTTTATCTGATCCATGTCTCGGCCTGCCTGGTTCGAGGGGTGATCAGGGTCGGCATATTCGAAGCAATTGCGAATGAATGCAGACACGCTGCTCAAAAACTGCTCGTCACGGCCAGCGCGCTCCGAGTTGGACCCAGAACTTACGTCGAGTGATGAAGCAGCAGGGCTTGGATCGTGTATGCCGCGCCGCGATAAGAACAAGAGAGCCTCTGAGATCCTCAGAATGCCCTCGCGGTCTACTTTGCCATCGCCATCATCGTCGTAAAGCTCAAAGAAGTAGCTAATGTTGGACATGATGTCTTTAGTTCCCTTGACATTGGCAAACCCAGTGACAACGTTCTGCAATGACAGCGAGTCTGTCATGTCGACATCCCAACGTCGGAACAAGCGGCGCATGAATTCGTGGTCTGCAGGCTCTGGTCCTGAGCCCCATGGGGACATGGGCGGTCGTTTTCTCATACTGTTTCCAAAATATGAATGTGCATTTTGGTTGCCGCTGGATTCAGGCGGAGAGGTTGGTGAGTCGGTAATCGCCCATTTTGCGATGCCTGACTAGCTCGTTAGCAGAGGTATCCGGGTGTTGCTAAAAGTTGACAGACAACTCACCAGCAAGAAATTCTCTAAAAGCATCGTAATCCATCTGGGTAGGACTGGGCCCGAGCGCTACTCGCCCCTTCTCTGCACTGCCGGAAATGCCTGTTACGACTTCAGTCGCCTTCATCCTGCTAGCCTTGGCCTTGCGCTCAGCTTCTTGCTGCATAATCTCGGCTCTTTGTTGTCGCTCGTAGAGTACGGCGTAGAATCTATCGTACAGGAATCCCAGATCGTTTAAACTCAACTTTTTGCTGTCTGGACCGAGGTTCCTTATCGATGTGCGTTTGGCAAAACTCTCTATATTCTCTAATACAGCGTCTTTATGTTTGGCGCGCTGCTCTGAAATGGTGTTTTGCGTGATGCCAGCAAATTCTTTAAAGGCCACAACCATAAGTTCCTGGAATCGTGTGACAGCACGTAACTTGGGGTTTTCCGACTTTGGATGTGCGGATTCGTCGAGTCGAGAGAAGTAAGACTTCAAGACGGAGATGAAAGAGCCGTCGTCGGCGGCATCGAGTAATTCCTCACCGTTTATGCGAAGGATAGCAAGGCCGATTTGAAAGAGAACCTTTGGGCCTTCAAGGAAGAAGACGTCTAGAACACGAAAAGCAAAGATCAGAGGCATGGAGTTGATATAGAGCGAAAGAAACCACGGTAAGGAAACAACGGATAGCTGTACGTCAGACTTGACGAGATGGTCCCAGAGTATGGGCATAGTCTTCTCCACAAGAGATTCGAAAACCTTTTGGTCGAGGAGGGTGCCGTACATGGTTTGCGAGTAGTAGCCGGGAAGTAGGCGATCACACAGCACAGAAAGAAGGAAGAAGGCCTGTGATTCCGACATGTATCTTTATTGGTTAGAATCAAGAACCTGCACGTCGAGGGGCACACATACATCAACAACGCTGCGACTACAATGTTCATCGCCTGGCAGTAGCCGACTTCTTCGTTTGTCCAGCTGTATGCCGTCAATACCCTCCGAAGCCTGCCAATACCCTCTTCACTCTGGAAGCCTGGGTACTCGGGCAGACTCCTATTCAGGTCCTTCTCAATCTCATCTATAGCCAGCGACTCTCGCCCAGAGTATTTTTGCAATGTTTCGGTATAGAGGTTCGGATTCTGCAGGCGTAGAAAAAAGGCCCCCGACGTGAGTTCCCACATTTCACCTCTTAAACGATTGGGTAGACCGACGCGGATGAGTTTGTGGAAGGTGGGCTGTCGGATCAGGGTTGCGCTTCGGCCGTTGTCTGTTGCACGTTAGTACTGCTTCTGTGCATGAACCGAATTCAACTTGCCTTTCAAGTATTCACGCCAGAGGCGTATCTTTGTCGCATCTCGAAGTTTCCTTGCATTTCCAGGGTATCTGAATATCATGCCCAAGCCTGTATCTGGATGTTCCCTCCCCAGCTTGCCATCCGCGCCCGGTTTCTTTCCCTCGTCGTCGGTGAGCAAATACTCGGAGTAGCACTGAGCTACCACATTGCGTAGATTCTCCACCTCCTTGACGCCTTCCCTCAAGCCCTTCTTGAGGCCATCGCAAAACCGCTCGCATGCCTGCCGCGAGCCGGCAAGCTGGATCGTAAGCTTCTGCCCAGCAGGTGCTTGTGACTTGGAGTCTGGTGTGCCATTCCATGTGGTAATTGCGAGGGCGAACATGTAGCTCTGGCTGTGCAGGCGCTCTACGCGCCGTATACCGCATAGTGGCAGGGTGAAACCGTTGCCCGCCGGTCCCGCGCCATGGGTTTGGCCTGTGAAGCTACTCGAGGAGCTCAAACTCGCCGTGTTGATGAAGCTTGAGCCCTGCGTGGAGAAGCATAAATACTGCTCGCTAAGATGTAGTTTGCCGACATAATGATTGCCCTGGCCGCGGTCCTTGTCGGATGTGACGTCGCCGTTACCCCTCGTGGAGTGGTGGGGTTGGAGTGTAAGCTCGGCGGTGATCTCCTGGAGGGGATTCTGCGAGTCGGGAAGTCGGAACTGGTAGCGAAAAAGGGTGGCTTTGGAGGGCCGTCGGTCTGCGGATGCGGGAGCAGCGATGGTGTTGAGCGTGGGTTCAATGTACTGTTGAGCCTTCTGCACCAGGTTCGAGATGTTGAACATGGCTTCGGCCCGGCCGCGGGTCAGAGACAGAGGAGAGTCGGTATAAAGCGGACGCAAGTCACTGTTTGTGCTTCATTGCGCGACAGGAGACGCCCTTGTTGGTCGGCTTGCAGAGGGCCCTAGAGCTTATGCAGGGCGGGAACTGGGTGGGTGGAGTGTGTTGCACCTGCCACAGCGCACGGCCACAGCGAGGCTGAAATCTGGCCATGACTAAGACACAGTGCGCCCGCCCTTGACTAGGATGGCCTGGCCGCCATCAACCATCTGTGGGGAACTGGGTTTGGGGCTACGATGGAGAGACACAAGCACACAGCAGATCAAGTCATGGGCGCAATTATGGGGAGCAAAGAGGTGAAGAGGTTCATCATTGCCGTCTATCTGTAACCACCTGGGCGTAGCTGGGCGCATACGACGCATTTCAACGTCAAAATGAACGTGGCAAGGTATATGCAGTCTAGTAGTCTTCATCACATGCGCTTACGTGCAGGTGTAAGCTCCGTCAACCCGGAGATCCGCACCCTACATGATCGGATTAGCAGCTGCTCGTTAACTGCATCTAGGCACTACTCACCGTAACGTATAAGCTAGCGTCGCTGGACAAGAAAGTGACAGCGCCCATCAGGTCCTCGGGACGTCCCATCTTACCGACAGGAATCAGCGATGTCCACTGCTTCTGGAGTTCTGGGTTGTCGTCGAGAATCTTCTTGGTCCTGCAGCACCGTTAGCATCGTTTCGGTTGGTGACAAAACATTGACGTACAATGCAGTAAGCATGTATCCAGGCGAAATGCAGTTCACGCGGATTCCTGCGCCCGCCCACTCAACGGCTAAACTAGCTGCCAAGTGTCGCACTGCTGCCTTTGCAGCATTGTACGGGGCTTGTGGCTGCGGGACATTGACAATGGAGCCAGACATGCTGCCAATCATGACGATGCTTCCCGGCGCCTTCCTCTCCATGAGATGCTTTGCCACTGCCACAGCGTATAGGTATGTGCCGTCGACGTTGACGCCCCATAGCTTCTGCATGCGGTCGTGGGGGTAGGAGATGGCATCGTAGTTCTCGGTGAAGCCAGCAGATGTGACAAGGTTGTCGACCTTGCCATGTCGCTTCAAGATCTCGGCAAAGGACTGGTTGACGGAGGTTGGACTCGAGACATCGCAAAAGTGAGCTGTGACCTTTGGTGTCCTGTGTCTTGAGTTAGCCGGAGTAGGATGTAGAGAGGAGAAATTTCCAACCTTCTGGATCCGGGGTTCTCCTTCTTGTAGACATCAATGAGCCCTTGTGCGGATCGCTCTCCTTCTTCTTTGTTCATGTCAACAATGGCGACGTCGGCACCAGATGTAACCAGTGCCTGGGCCATGACGAGGCCCAGACCTCGAGCTCCACCAGTGACGACAGCTACCTTGCCCTCCATGGAAAATGAGGCCAGCGTGCGCTTCGAGTGCTCGCCTCCACGGCCTACGACGGGATTCGAAGGCGGTAGGTCCTTCTCTTCTGGGTACTCTACGACAATGTCGTCTCTAGTTCGCGCGTACTGACCCTCGTGGTCACCACTCTCGCCAGGCTCGCCTGACGTTGTCGCTGCATTGACTGGGTCGTCGTTCTGGGAGTCTTTATCCAAACGATTGGGAGAAGAAGTGAAGCGTCGAATTGAAGAAATGGCTGGCTGTGCGGGTCGGAAGGCTGCTCGAGGAGCCTGTACCGTAGCCGCGCGGGCAACGTGCCGAAGTACCTGAGACCTGAACATAGCAATTGTGGTACACAGATGCAGCGTCCAGAGAGTCGTAGAAGAGGCCCTCCACAGAAAAGAAGCTGCCAATGGCAAGGTACAATGGAAGCAATACCGCGTATGGGTATGCAGGAGTGTATGGATTCAAGGCGAGGCGAGGCAGCCCAAAGTCGATGAAGCAACCCAAAGGTCGAGCAGAATTTGGGCAGAGGCAGTGGAAGCAAGCGGAAAGTTCACCATGTCCACAGCTATCGACACAAGGTATGAAATCATTCGGTCCTTTGCACAGCTTGAGCTTCGTGGCCCGCCGTGCTGCTGTTGGTTGAACGCCTCTGACGACAGGACATGCAGGGCCAGCTTAAGCGAGCCCCAATCAAGTATCCCGCAAAGTCTATCCCATCTACACGCGTTCAATGGCATTGTCCGCTCCATCACCGTCTCCATCTTTATTACACACCGACAAGGCCAAGAGTGGGCTTGCCCTGGCTGTGCCCGCCCTTCTCCACACACACACACACACACACCCTTGGTCTAGAGGAGCTCCAGCAAATGCTGACCGCTGGCCACCCCCACGTTCCAAGAAGCAAATAATCATAGCAAGACCCCTGTAGCCCGGCCAGAGCGGGGCAGCCTATGTATGCAGCCCAGCGCTACGATTCTGAAGATTGCATGTACTCCACCCCATACAAGCACTCCGCTTATCCGTATTGTCGCCGCCAGCTAAATACACTCCATAGTGCGCACCACGACACGCCATGCTGGAGCTGTACCTCGTCACCTTCAACGCGGCGCGCAACCTCGTCGACCCGCAGGCACTGGCGCCGTCCTTCTTTGACGCGCTCCCAAAGGAATCGCCCGTGCCAGACATTGTCGCCATCTCGCTGCAGGAAATTGCGCCCATTGCCTATTCATTTCTCGGTGGATCGTATTTGAAGCCCTACTTCGACCGCGTGACCACGACTGTCCAGCTTGCTGCCGACCTCCACAGCCAGGGCAGCGGCTCCCTCGAGCATGTGGCCACGCGTAGCCTGGGCATGACGGCCCTGATGCTATTTGCAAAGCCCGCTGTCCTCGAGAGGGTGCAATGGATACAGTCTGCAGGTGCAGGCGTCGGCTTTTCCAACATGGGCAACAAGGGGGCTGTTGCGATGCGCATCGGCCTGGCCTGTCCCGGCGCCGACGATACCCTTGATCTCACCTTTGCTGCCGCCCATCTTGCGCCCATGGAAAGGAATGTGGAAGCGCGCAACAAGGACTGGGAGAACCTGGTGCGCAACTTGGTCTTTGTCAACGGCGACGAGACCGCCTACAGCTCGAGCGAACAAAGACCCCTTCTAGCCGCCTCTCCAGATGCTCCCGCTGATCACAACGGTCTCTTTACGCCTGGAAACCACGTCTTCTTTTACGGCGACCTAAACTATCGCACTAGTGACAGCCCGCCAGATGGTGACGCTCCCAAGTCCTACCCTCAGCCTACCGAGTCAGAGTCATCATCCAGACACTTTTCACATTTGCTAAAACAGGACCAATTGATTAGAGAGAAAGACGCCAAGCGCACATTGCATGGCTTCGAGGAGCTCCCCATCACCTTCCCGCCTACATACAAGTATTCCACTTCCAAACACTCTCTAGCCGGTGAGGTTGAATCGTGGCACTGGTCAAAGCACCGATATCCATCGTGGTGTGACCGAATCCTCTTTCTACGCGCCGGGTCTGCGTCAGACCTAGAACCCCAGATCTACACCGCTCTCCCTATCCAGCCCACGTCAGACCACCGTCCTGTTGCTCTCTCCCTGCGTGTCGACGAAAAGCCCGTCAAAATGGGCATCAACGAAGTCTTTTCCCGTGCGCCCTTTGACATCAATCCCCAGTGGAAGGCCAGACGGGATGCCGCACGACGCTGGGAAGTTATTGTGGGCGTCATGTCCTACCTCGCCTTGACCGGCAGGGGCCAGATCATCCTCGTCACCTTGCTGGGTGTGGTGGCTGGCGGTCTGTTTTTGGCCGGGGCTTTGACTAGATGAGGCTGCTCTTAGCTTGTTGCCACTCGACAGCATTGTTCCTCCAGCTCCACTGTTCAGCGAGATGTTTTATCGTTGCCGCTGTCGGCATGCCCATGGTGTTCACCTCTTCTAGAAATTCTATCATCTTGAAATGTGCCATCTCATCGCTCAACAGCACTGCAAATTTGTGCACAGCATGCGCTGCTTTCCATGGTGCCGATATACAGTTGGTATTGCATCGAGCAATGGCCACCATTTCCTTCAGCCCTCTAAGTATTTCGTCTTGTATGGATGCAACAACGCCGTCTCCATGGGGGTACGCAAATTCGGCGTCGAGGTAACTAGCTGCTAGTGCAATGCGACATAGCCGCAAGTGTTGGTTTGCATCAGCTGAAGCAATGTCAGTCCAGTCATAAAAATAGCGGGCTGGTTGCTATCCAAACTCACCATGGCAAGGACTGGAGAACCATAGTTCTGGAAAGTATCCCGTAGCGTACGAGTCCTCTTTATAAAAGAATGCATCGAAAGTTGTGGGCCGCATCAATTCCCATTCATCAACAAGATTGCTCAAGTACTGCCGCTCATCTGCTGTGCGATTGTCGGTCGCCATCCACTGCAGGATACGCGCATTCAACCATACTATTCGGCTACCCCATGAGGCTTCATCTTCTGGTAGGGCTAATGCAGGTAGAATGGAGTTTCCATAATCGATGCGCAAACTCGGGCGATTTAGAAGCGCTTGACAGACTTCAGAATTCACGTGAATCATGAGACAAGCCTGCACGACCGGACTGGACATATCAAGCAACCAGCCTTCGGGGCCATGGAAAAGCTCATATGTAGAGAGGTGGGTTTGACCCTGCGTACCCGCTGATTGTTGGTCAGCCAAACATTTCACTTCCTTTGCTTTGTCACTACACACCGTGGAACTCTTCAAACGTTCTGAGAAGCATCGCCGTTACTAGCGTTGCCTCGTCCTCGATCCTGCCTTTCTCTGCTAGGTACGGAATGAGGTCCTGTAGGATCCTATCATGATACACAAAAGGCCCGGCTGGGAAATGCGGGTCATGGCGCAAGACATGTTGGGCAGATGTCATGAGAATTGCATTCATAAGCATCGCATTCTCAAAAGCAAGTCTTGGAACTACTCTTTTGAACACGGCTACTGGACTTGTAATGTCGAGTGATACTGCGGCCTTTTCGATCCAGAAGCGAAATAGATAGGCTTCAATTGGATCAGAGAGGGGCCAAGCTACATCGGCAACTGAATTTGCTGCAGGGTGTGGGCGTGGCGAAGGGCCTTCAGACTGTGAGTCTGCAGGCGATGGCTCATCGAGACTGGAATAATTGGAGACTGAGCCTGGAGCCGGACTCGTATGACGTCGGACATGCCATGGAGGAGGAATATGCCTCTGGCTGTCCGCAGATGTCTGCGCTTGATTATCCCAAGTCCCACTTCGCAGAGGCAGACGTCGCTCTCTCTTCCGGGGACTCGTTGTCGCAAAGCTTGACGGTCTCCCAGATGTTCGTGAACGATTTACATGTTTCGATGCCCTCCTCTCGCCTGCAGATGCCGGATTTTCGCATTCTTCAGCTACAAGTCTGGACTCGTCGATAAAATTCACTGCGATGCTGTGTCAGTGCTTGCATAATGCTTATCAGTCGCTCAGAAGCGACTCAACCGGTGGCTTGAACATACATTTACCCTCGGTACCAACCCATCTCTGGCCGGCAGCGAAAAAATAATCGTACTTTTTTATATCTGCTCGGGTTGCTTGACCTTCTGCATCCGGAAACACGCCATGTCGAAAGCGGACCCTGTAATTAGTCTTCTTCGGCTGGGCACCTGGTGACAAAGACACACTCATCCTGCGCTGCAGTATGAGAAAATGATGCGAATAAACAGCCGTACTTCCAAAACAAGGCAAACCAAGACGATTCGGAAAGAGGACCAGCAATCTTGCCAAGAAGTCAAAACCAAGACAAGCAAAAGGTGCTGACGGTGCTCAATGTTTTCAACCAGCAACCAGACAAGTTCGCCGCCTCGGCTGGTATTATGTACTGTGTCTATCTGTCGCAAGCTACGCCACATCGGTAACCATGATGCATGGTGAATGGAAGAAACGGCACATGCGTATGCGACAAGAAAATGCACCGCACATACACTTTCTTCTCGCTTCTCATATCAGAAGGATTTGATCATCTCCCCTTTCTCCTTTGGGCCTAAGCGCGCGGATTGCTCTTCTCATCTGCAACCTTGGTCGTGATGATTCAGCACAATGGCGGTGCAGATTGGACAACGGCCCGATGTGTGGTTCCATTTTGTAGCGCGGACCGTTCCCGTCAGAGTGGAAGGCTTGTCGATGCTTGTGTCCGACTCTGAGTGCTATCTGGTCAGGAGGATGGGAATCACAGACGCTGCTCTCGAGTCCGCCTTTTCGACAAGTTTGTATGAAGCCCAGAGCCCGAGTTTTACTATTGTCCTTGGGACTATATGACCAATAGAGCACACGATTCACCGATCTACCTCTGGGCAGCCAATACACCCTATGTTGCTGCCTACCTTTTGCACCAACTGGCTGTATGTCTCAAGGACAGGAAGAGGCAACCCGACGTCATACAACAACGGGTAGGGCTGATGTACCCCACGTCAGTCTTTCGCCCTTCCAGAAAGACGCCACACGCGCCCGGCGCGCCTTGGACCAAAATCTGACACGTCTGAATAAGCAAGAGTGATTAAAAATGCCGGATTCCATCACCAAAAGGAGCCTTTATCACGCGGACGTAGACATTGCTGGGCGACGGGACAGGCTCGTCCAGCCCTGTTGCATTATTAATCCAATACCATAGAGTTGCGTCTCTTGTTATCTTTGAGTTCCAGTTCCGCGGTACGTACATTGACATCTACAGGCGTGCGCGTATTGGCTGTCCGTACCCCGTATCGCCACGTGACGTACATCAGCCTTGCTGACACCCCGATAGCGAAGCAACCACCAGTATCAATGACCACATTGGGACACCGCTTCCCTTGTTCCCGCTGACAACAGCGCAAATCTCATTTTTAGAGCCTCAAGCTCCCCTGTTCCCCAGTCCCGTCAGCAAAGCGGAAAAAAGGTACTTGTTTGTCAGCTCTAAATACAGCTCTCCCCCGCGGAAATCCCCCGCAAACCACTAATCGCACAAAAAAAGATAGTACAAAGTGTTTAGGAAAATGGTCGCGCGCTATCTTTAGCAGAAGGTAAGCGGGTGGTGACTAAGTCTGTTGCCTCCCCTTGCATACATATGTAGTGTCCACCCTATGCCATCCCAATATCGGTCGGCACAGTCTAAAGCCATGGCAAGCCGCACATCGCGGCATACGCGCTTTTTTCTCTCGCCCAGCCGCGCAAACACACAAATTTCTCTGAAGCAAGGGTAGTAGGGGAAATCATGTGCGATGCCTCTCTTTCGAAGACATGATAGCGGGAGAAGGGTGTGGCCTCCAAGAGGGGGCAAGTGGCTTGCTTAGAAAGCGTTGGTGGGCCGAGGGACACCCGAAGGCTGCAACATGCGCACGTGTGCGTGTATTTAGGGGGTAATTGAGATTGGTTGGAGATTGTTTCCACATGTGCGGCTGGTGTAGGAGTAGATGGATATATCGAAGGCATGTTTTTGTGATTAGTTATTGTATGATTAGTTATTGTGCGGTTTTGAGTGAGTGTCGTTGGCGAGAGAGATTCGGTAATGAGTAGGTGGGATTACATATTTCATTTTGGAGAAAGGCAGGTCATGTACGTTTTATTGATATTCCAATCTTTGTGCGAAGTTTGGAAGTTACTTGGAAGAAAGGGTATGTATTTCTTGCTCAAGGAAGCCAACGTTTCGTGCTGTGTATAGAGAACAGGGGTCTATACTCTGCTTCTACCAAGGAATGTCTCACGGTCAGCTACAGCAGTACTTTCCTTATGCACAACCATTTTACCCAAACCCAATGCAGCAAATGCTTAAAACCATATTGTATGTATGCATACATGCATAACTATGCAGCCTTTCCTAAAATCCCAGCCCCACTATTTCCTTCACCTTGGCACATCAACACGTTCGTCCCACATCCATACGTAGTCCCAAGAACTATTTTTACGCCATTACATCTCCATCCCCACAATGCATAAAAACCCCGCTTTTTACACACTCTCTCTCCCTCTCCACCACTTCTCTACCACAAGAAAGAGTCTAGATTCATTTCCAGTCCCCAGAATGACGTCACCACCACCCTTAACGATCCTCTTAGCGCCTTTCCCAAGACCAACCCCTAACTAGTATGTATGTAGTCTCGGGAAAAGGACAAGCCGGAAAATGGCAAAAGGACCAAGACAACTAAGAGCCAACCGCGAGTCAGCTGTATAAAACATCGCTGTCATAACTATCGATATCAACAGATCACAATGGCTTCTCGGACTAATGCATCTCGGAAGGCCGGAACTGAAGAATGCACAAAACTAAAAACAAATAGAATGTGTGCCACGAGTTATAAGACTGCCTATCCCCCTTGTTCTCAGTAATATTCGCTGGTTAAGCCTAGGAGAAACCAGTCATGACCTGCTTGGCCATTTCGTCACCCCAATCTGGCTGCGCCCGGTAATGGATGTTGTTGATTGAACACTCGGCCACGACACCATTCTTACTTGAATCAGTCAAGAATCCATCCACAGCGCGCACAATGGTTGATTGAGGCGTCAGCACCTTGGCCATGTCGTCCGTTATGGGGCCGTCAGATATATTGGTAGCAACCGCGCCTATCGCTTTTTGTTAAAACGATATCTCATTGGATAAAAAAGGAAAATGCTTCATGTCCAACATACCTGGGCATACGCAGTTGACGGTAATAGGCTCCCCAAGCGCTTCGAGCTTCTGGGCGAGGCATCTAGTTATACCGACGACCTATGCAGTAGGAAGATTGTCAGTACGCTGAGAGCGATATACTACTCGTGTTTGTAGGGTCATGTGGAGACTTACCCCGTGCTTCGCAGAAGTATATACGGGAAGACTGAGTGACGGATAGAGGCCAGCCATACTCGCCGTCGAAACCAGCTTCCCAGCTTTATCAGGATTCTTGCGGAAGTAGTGCAGTGCAAGATATGCCGAGTAGACGACACCAGTCAGACAAATGTCAAGGGCAGCGGTATTCGGCTTCACAGGCGCGCCATCTTCGCGTTCCTTAGCCGGCTCGTAGAAATTAACCCTGTCAATAATGCCCTTGGGTTTTCGTCAGCCAAAAAAAAATCGAAAAGAAAAAAAGCGACGTGAAGCACAACAGCGAAAGACAAAAGGGCAGCACTGACCGCATTCGCAAATACAAAGTCGAGCCGCGACCATTGTTTCCACGTCGCGACGAAGGCTTTAGCTTGCTGGTCGTAATCCGAAACATCAGCATGCGTAAAGAGCACCTTGTCACCGAGATCCTGAGCTATTTTATGCCCGCCCTCTTTGTTGTAGTCGACTATCATAACGTTCCAACCTTGCTCGACCAGGTGCTTTACGACCGACAATCCCATGCCCGAGGCACCGCCCGTGACGAGCGCCACTCGGGCAGATGATACCTGTCCAGTCGAAGTCATTTTGCTTCACACTACTGAGCGGGGTGAGGGGCGGGGTCTTGTAAAGGGAGAGGGGGAGAGAGAAACACGCGAATGAGCCTTCTCTTGTGAAGGAGGAGGAGGAGGAGAAGAAGAAGAAGAAGAAGAAGAAGAAGTCAAATGGATATGTAGTACAGACTGTCGTCGTCCGTGATTTTTGCTCATACTTACTCACGCTTTAACCCCAAAGTATCACTTCTCGGGCCTTTTATTTTTTTCCCGCATTCGCACCAAACTACTTGGCTTGGAATCCGCTCTTTACTACGTTCTGCTTCTTTTTTTTAACTTACTTACTTACTACATACACAGAAGCAGCAAATCTCCAAGTAGCCCAAGATATATCCAGAAGCAGTAGTAGTGGTAGCAATCACCTCTCTTTCTACCCTCTGCATCTCTCTCGTAATCGCTAGTCTAATCTGAGAATACTTTCAAGAAAAAAACCCCGCCATGACAAGCGCGAAAATGGAGAATAGCTTGCGCTAAGACTCCATTGGTTGCTCGGGAATGGATGTGCTCGCCAAGAGTACTTTTACTCTAGTCAAATGGCCTTGTAGTAGTCCTGATAGTATTAGTTTCCGCGCTACCCGGCGGACGAAAAAAGGAACCCCTCCCGGGACACTAACATATCCAAGATAGTGCTTTGCCAGATTATTGTGACCATGGATCTACCGCTTTTTAGAGTCTTTTATTTTAAAGGGTGTTGCAACGAGAAACTTTGGGATGTACACAAGGTGATGTGGTGGAAAAGATGATTCTTATTTCAGTATTATGACCATAAATACTGTACTTGTTGTTCTACATAATCTCCGATGTCTTTCCACCTTTTCCCATTCGCATTGTCCATTATTATTATTATTATTTTAGTATTGATAGTAGCTAGGCCTGTTTTGGGAATTTCCGGGAATTCCGTCTCACCAGCGGGTGGAATGGGGAGAGTATACGGTGGGATACCGATGATAAGCTCTATTTGTTAGAGTTCCCTGGAATTCCGTTCCGCCACCAGGTGAGAGCGGGAAGTACACAGTATACAATAAGATACAGTAGTTAAATCGATAGTTGGAAAGTAGAGTTGGAAGTCTTTTGTACAAGCCGTACATCTCCCCCTCATTACCCCACTCTTAGCACCGTATATACACATCACAGACATCTTTTTGCAAGAGAAATACTTGGGTTGTTCAATTTTATTCTAATTAAAAAGAATATGTAAAAAGAACACTTTAACATAAAATTAAGAGTCAAAAAATAGTAAATAGGTAAAACAAAAAAACGGATCAAGACGTGGTGGTAGACACGGGAACGGAAAGTGGCGGGAAAGAACAGGAAAAACGTTGACGGAAGAAAAGGCCCAGAGATTGATGGAAAAACGGATTTTGCATGTAGTAGTAGTAGTAGTAGTAGGAGGAGGAGGAAAAGTATCATTGATTGGGTTGCGTTGATTTCATACATACTACTACACAATAGAGTACACAGCAAGTACACATGCTTGCGGGAGTTAGTTGGGGTTTAGTCGGGCTGACAGACTGGAGAGCGGGATCTTGCCAAGCGAAAAAGGTGGGTGAGGGGTGGACTGTGTAAACGTGTGCGTGGGTGGTCGGGGGAAATGGGGAAATGGGAGGGGGACGTGATGTGGGGGAGGGTTTGTCACAATGAACTATACACGTATACGCGATTGAAACACTCCGGAAAGCTGCAAGTGCATGGTAGTTTGAGGAGGAGGAGGNGGGGGGGGTTGGTGGTGGTGGTTACACTACAGCCGTACACGGTGTGCGTGTGCGTCTACATGCTTGGGTTGGGCGTTGGGCGTCTTTGGCCCTCTCCATCACGAGGGGGGAGGGAGACGCATGTGTTGTACACATGTAATGTAACCTGCGTTGGGCAACCGGGGCACCCGTGTGTAATTGGGCTTGTTCGGTCTCTCTCTCTCTCTCTCGCCATGGAAATCTGTACGCCGACGTGCAGTTGACATGGCAGCTTTGTTTGCGCGCCCGCCGGTCGGGTTTACTGCAACACTGATCTGCAATGCGCGGTAGGGAGAGAGACAGGAAGTATGGGCAGGTGTGCATAAGCTTTGGGCAGGACGACGTGACTATTGTTGCCAAGGCAGCTTTGCGACAAAAGTAGAGCATTGGTATGACTAAAGGGTTGCGGCATCAGTTGCCGTGGCTTGTTGTTCCCCCTTCACAGCCGCCATGTTTGCAACACCAAGATTCCGGCCTTTGTCTTCTTGGCCAAGGGCGCTTGGGCGCATGATTATGGCGTCGGCTCATCCCAAAGCGGACCCAGACGACCGCGGTGCCGAAAGCGGCGACACATTCGGAGAGCATCTCCAGAGAACACCGAACAACACCATCTCTACTACTGTTTTCTTGCGTAATCAGCCTCGCAAAGCTCTACATGTTTGACTACATACCAAATCACCCACGACCAAACTGTCCTCTCTTTGCACTTGCGCACATACCTTTACTCAGTTCCCTTCCAACACACAAAGCACGCAAACTTGGGCCTACTACTACTTTACGCAACAAAGGCCAGCCACAGACGTCACCCTGCAGCGGGCCTCCAACTCCTGCGCTGCATCGCGCCCAATCTACTCCGTTCAAAAAAACCCACCTTGCATGCCACACGTTCTAGCCCCTTGTGATTGCGTCTTCCCTGTGACCTACTCCGCGGCCACCCACGTTGGGGGGAGGAGGGGACGCGATCGCCAGCCAAAACTGCGATCGCGGCGCTTGTCTAGACCACATGCTTCCCCCCAGCCAGGCCCTCTGATGTTGCATCTTATTGTCGATCTATCTGTCTGGACTATGTGTCTCTGTGTCTTTTTATTTTTTTGCTGGCTGGCTGGCCCTGCTCTTTCATGCTTTACCAATGTGGAGTCTCTTACGCTCTTGGTTCCTGGGTGAACAAAGCCGACGCGGATCCGCAGTTCTCTTTTTTTGTGCCTCCCTCTACCTAACGTTGGCTCCCGGGGACTTGCAGAGAGAGGGGACGGCACGCTAGCTCAGCGGAATTAGTGCCATAATGATGGGCGCTGCGGAACTACTTTTGGATACGGATGCTATGTAGGCCGTTCGGCGTCGCTTTTGGGTTTTTGCTCGTAAAAACGTGTCATGCCGTGATTATACCGTTTTGTTTTCCGCAAAGGCGAAATAAAAGGGAGGGAGGGTAATTGCTCGGGGAATAAAAAAAGGGAGAAAGGAGTGATAAAGGGAAAAAAAGGAGAGTGAGGCGAGCGGTTCGGGGACCTTGTGTTCTAGGCGAGGCTGTGGGGACGGAATCCTGGCCTCTATCCTTTTTTTCTTTCTCTGCATTCCTCGTCTTACGCATGGATTCGTTTTCTGCTCGCTTCTTCACTATCCCCGCAAAAAAAAAATTGAACAAGCAAGGGAAAAATAAACGAGGCTGCAAATTGGGATGAGAGGGTCTTTGCTGCAGGTCATGCGTCACGCATAGCGGGAATAAAGTGCAGAAAACTTGGTCAGGTGAGGTGGGTTCGAAAACATTGGAGTGCATTTGGTGTGATTGTGTTTCACTGCAAGTGCAAGAGAGAAAGAGACAGCTCGCGCTTCGGTTTCCCAACCGACCCAATCATGGGTATATGCCAAGTTTTCCTCCAAAGAGTAGCCTGTGCTGGGGGCGGATGGGTGCATGGCCCCAATCGACGCCACATGATGCACACCCTGTTTGCCCAAAACGCCTGCAACCGAGTCTTCCCGAAGAGAAGAAAGAACAACAAAAACAAACATGTGAATGGAAAGTGTAGCGGTGTATGAATACAAAGTGTATAGAGAGAAAAGCAAGAGAAAAGAAAACGTCCAGAAAATCTTGCATGCCCATGTAAATGCTAACCAAGTGCGCTGTCCCGCGCCGTTAATCCCCTAAGATAGGCCAAAGCCATAGTCGGCCCAAAAGGGTGGGAGAAGGAAGTGTTGCCAGAACACCTGTCGTCAAAGTCGCTAATGTCTGAATAAAACTCGTATTGTCGTGAAAAGAGGATGGGCTACCCCCATAATGTGTCGTATGGGGTTGCATGTTGGCTTCAAACGGACTATTGTGTCCTTGTTGATGTCGACGAGTTGTTGAGTTGAGATAGAGACGCGAACGAGTTTGTCATTGCCGAGTAGGCAGCTGATGGCAGCGCGTTGGTTGACGATGTGGACGAGGCACTGTTGCTTCGGACTTGCAGGTTGAGAGTGTGGCAGCTGTCGCATCGATCATTGAGGCGGTTGCAACGGCCTCGGCAGCCTCGCTCGTAGTTGGCGCAGGAGAACATTGTGTCTTGAGAAGGTTGAGGTGTTGTCGAGTGTAGTGATAGATAGTGGTAGCAGTAGTGGTGCTGGTGGTGATGTTGTAGTAGCGTGGACTGCGTTTATGTGTTGCTCGGACTTAAATAGCGTGTTGGCCTTTGGGGAATCCTTTAAGCCGAGGGCGAGACTTCGTAATATATGGGGCAGACGATAGCGAACGCCCGATGATGTAGACAGGCAGTTGCAGATATGCAGGGTAATGATTGCGTACTTGGGCCGAAAAAGTAACCGTAATCGATGGTGTCAGTTGGCGTCGCTTGGGTGCATGCAGAACGGGCCCAGTATAGTGCCTTAGTTGCCGGATCTAGCAAGGGAGAAGATGGATAGTCGAGCTGACAAAGTCAAGAGATAGGGTGTGCGAACAAGACGTGGGCGTGTGGACAGGCAGCTTATATCTTGAGCTTGCAGATTAGGAGGAACCTGCGGGTCTGGAAGCTAGTAGTGCCATCTCTTATATCCAAACTTGACGTATATCAAGGCAAAACCTTGCGTAACGCTGGAGGCTGCAAGAGGCTCATGGCAGTTGACGCGTCCAAGGGAAGAGTGTGTCATCGTAGATTATACAGTGGAGAGACCCGCGGCCAGACTGCACTTGGCCAGTGCGTTCTCACTCACCCGCCCAGGGTCTCGGCGGAGACCCTGGCCTCGTTGCCCATCGACCCAACCAAGCGCCCAAATCTTGATTTCTGCCAAAGCCGTGACTTCCGGCAATCATCATCGCGTGGCTTGCACCAAGCCATTCTTTCACCGGACATGGACACTGTACAAACATCCATACGTACCCAACACCCGCCCCGCCGCGAAGACTGACGTTTCCCGCCATTTGGTGACTCTGCCATTGTGCTGGCAGCCCGGAGGGTACGTGCCATAGCTTGCGACTGTTTCAAGCGACGATGTGCTGCAGGGACCGGGCTGGTAAGCTATGTTTCGCTCAATTTCTCCCAGGCGGCCTTACGGGGCTGAGGGCTTACTGTGTGTACTTGCCCACCGCACAGCGTGCTTCTGCATTCGTCCTCACCTTCGTCCACGCGTGCCAGAAGCCTCTAGAGCAGACCTAAGCCCTTTGCGATTATGCACCGCCCCAGTCTAGGCGTCTCACCCTTCACATGTCGCTCGTCCGCCCTGACCTCTCCTGACCCCATTTACCCGGCTTGCAGCTCGCAAAGGTCAACAATTGCCGTCAAAGGCACCAAATTTCGGATTTTGATAACGATTCCATGTCCGATCTCTGCCGCGTGGGTGCCGATGCAGACGCGGACCCTCCTACCGCTCTTCGCCACTCCTCACCACCTCCCGTTCGCGCCTCGACGCATTAATATGAGGATCAGCGTTCCCACCTATAGAACCAGACTTTTGCCTTGTGGCCTTATGTCCGGCACACATCCTCCGCACAATCTGGCCAGATTTTGTGGAGCGTGCAATCTTTCTGCTGCTGTGGAAATTTGGTCCACGCTAATACCTGGCTCACCTGGATCCGTAACTACGCAACCATTACCAGATTCTTGCTTGTTGCCCAGCCAGCCCCGTTATTTCCGCGCGGCCATATGCACCTTTTGTTTCTTTTCCCATGGGAAAGTCGCCTTGGGGTCGGCGTGAGCGACCCGATGAGCTGGGCGAGACTACGGCTGGCAATCAACGGTTTGATATCTTGTCACGTGAGCAGGCGGACAACATTGTATCCACGCCACACCCTCGCCACATGTTTCTAGTGGCCTCTGGTTTCATCCTAAAAATACCGATTGCGATAAAGCCACTGAAAGCATGCCATGCATCATGCGTCTTGTTTAGTCTTGACCTCTAAGCTTTGTCAATAACCTTGAACACTAAAATTCACCACTAAGAGTGCAATGCTCTTTGACTTTGGTACGTACGACATCTCGTACGACATCCCTTGTCGGCGCTTGGAGGCAAACCCGAATTTGCACATGCTCGGAGAGTGATCGAGAAGCTTCGACGTTCTCGTTATGTTGACTACTGTCGTCTACCACAGGTTAGGACTATTTCCAGCTCCTCGGCATTATGAGAAACCCGGGTAAAAAGAAAATGTTACCATTGCAACGGTGCAACTACCAGCAATCAACATGACACAATTTGATGACATTGTTTGCTTACTTCTCTCACCCGTAAGCCGGCAAAAGCGTACAGTCTTGTCCATTTACTTACAACCTTCATTTTATGACAATTGACTTACAACTAATGCCATGCTAAGAGTGCATGGGTTCGCTTGAACATGTTCGAATTCCATGAACCCACACGCACATAGGAATGATCACACATGCAAGTTTGGCTGTAGGGTTAAACTTAGCGGTTGAACTACGGGTTGCGTTCAGGGTGAAATTAGGTTCCGTGAACAAGGTAAGAGCACATGGCGGCATTGCGTAAATCTATCGATTGCTCCGTAACAAAATTCAAGACGTAAATCCGAGAGTATTCTACCATCAGCTTATGGAGGCGTTGGAGTCGCTGTTACTGGCGTCCGCCAGTAGGCATGTGCTTCCATAGCAGGGGTGGCTGTCGAAGAGTTGTCATCAAGGCATCTGCCAAACCATCCTTTAGTAGTACAGGTCGTCGTGGTTGGCTCACTAGATGTAGTCGTAATAGTAGCAGTGGCCGTAATGGTTGCTGTTGTTTTATCTTTGCAACCAAACCAGCCAGGCTGTTCAAGTTAGCAATGTTTGCAAGATTAATCAACCAGGAGAACATACAGTCTGACAAGTGCTTGTGCTCGTTGTAGTAGTCGATGAGCTAGATGATGTTGTCGACATCATGGTAGTTGTCGCATCCCGGCATCCCCACCATCCAGGCGTCTGGCATGTTTCTGTCCGAGTCCTTGAGTAGGTGGTACTTGTTGATGTTGAGCTCGTTGTCGGCTGCTTATGTGTGCCGTTTTCAAACTTCCACAAGTAACAATCAACACAGCCTACATCCTCTTCTAGACATGTTGCCGCTTTTTCGTATTTCATGTAAACGTTCTCGATGGCGTACCTCAAGCTGTGCGTCTGTGTGCTTTGTCTCCAGCCCCAATCTTTAACCACATCGTATGCACACTTCCTTCCGGCATGGCAAAGTGTTTCAAATGCATAACCGCCGATTGAGCAAAAGCTTGTAGCCCCATTACAAGTTCCCATGTACACCGGGTCAGCTGTGTGTCCAAAATGAAAGACTCCCGTGTCTTTCCCGGGAGGAGCAACGTCGCTAGCTGCTGGTAGTCCTAAGCGCTTCGCTGCCAGAGCCTGGGGATAAGCCTCAAATGTCACAGCAGGAATGCCATGTTGGAGACTGATCAAAGACGCAAGTACTCCACCTAAGCTATGCCCGGTTGTCATTACGTGGGAATTCGGGTAGAGCTTCATCACTTCTTGATAGAGCTCGAGAGTTGCGACATAGTACCGGTTTGGCTTCCGCAACTCGTCCTTTACACATTGCTCATCGCAGGCATAGGTACCGGTTTGACAGTCACACACTTTGCGCCATAGGTAGGTACCACCCTGACCGCAGCAACAGGATCCGTAAAGGTTGTCGTTTTCCTTGTCGTGCACAGAAGTTCCGTTGCCTTCGAACATGGCTACGGTAGTTCCTTTAACGGCCAGAATGATGGTGGAGTTGGTGTCATCGCTGAACACATGGCCGCGGATGCCGCTATCATCCCAACCGAAGGGAACAGAAGTGTTGTAGTCTTCATCCACATCCATCCACCCGGGATCATCGCGACCGACCTTGTACGCATCCTCTGACATGTTTGCAAAACTGATGATGGTTTCCTTGTCTGTAATATCCGGACCTGGGATGTCTTCAGCCATCCAGATGGGAGACATGGGTATCTGGCTATCATAGCTGTTGAACGATGGCCTTTGGATCTTTACTGGTGCTGTCTTAATGGCGAAGGGTCCGACATGAGAATCAACACCAGCAACTGCAAAATGCTCCGGTGTGACATCAAACCTTCTTGCGCGCGGTCCAGGTTGACCGGCACCGTGATTAATGACATGTCGCAATCTGAAGCTGTTTGGCCTCGGTGATGAATTGGTAGTTGCCGCGTCCGCTAAATCCGTGGACCCACGGGAGTGGCCAAAGCCGGTATAGGCCAAAAAGATACCCGCAATCAGAGCGAACTGCACAAGGATACCAACGGCAAGGAGAGAACGCCAGGGCCTGCCTCGAGCATTATGGGATGAAGTGTGAAATGACATGATATAGGAGCACTACAGGAGAGATGAAGGGGCGAGTGCTGAAGGTGTTATGATAAGCGCGTCGACGACGGCCAAGTCGCCGCCTTCCGCACGGTCGTGGCTCGTGATCGAGACGCTACGACAAAATAGGTTAGTTAGCTTTCCACGTCATCTGCTTTCACCCACGCGCACCGCTCATCTGCTGCCTGGAGACTCTGTCGTCTCATATACGATCAAGCTCAACGCTTGCGGACGGTAAAGGAGCATTCCGTTGTCAAGAGTTGTAGCGTTGTACTTGCGTGGCGGCCTGGGCGTCCCGAAAGCGTAAGAAATAGATGCAAGCTAATGCATCGTGTCCGTCTCCAGCCTAAAAAAAGCTAGCCATGTTCGACCGTTATTCAGTCGTGCCTTTTATCCATCAAACACGTTGGGTTTTTTTTTGTGAAAGACAAGTCCAAACTGTGCAATGCTGAGGTCCAGTCCGTATTAGCAAAGCACTCATGTACATCGGAAAGCGGTGTTTGCAGGAGAGGACGGACATGTAGTTATTTTGCTGATGCTGTTGAGCTATGTTGCGAAGTTCCGTAGGGAAAAGGCAATAGCAGTAGATTTACAATATATCGGAGTTTTGAAAGAATCTCTACATTGGCGGTTAAGACATCTTTGACTAGATCAACCTCCGTGTTGCGCACTCTTTCCAGTGCAGACACCATCTCTCTTCTCGCAATAAATACAGGTTCCTCTTATGATTCATCTTCAAACACCAGATCAGATTAAGGAATTTTCTGCTGAAATGTACATGGTTTTTGAATCCCTAGTTATTATTATGATAGGTCCACTGATCAGTCACTTAGCCCAACTAATGAAACGTTCGGACATGTCAAGCGATACGGGAAGGTGTTTTTGGTATCGAGGAACCTGAAATCCCGCCTTGAAAAGCATACTGTCCGTTGTTAAAAGGTCTGATGTCGTTCTACTGTTTGTGGTGGCTGCATTTTATGGCATCGTGGACTGGAGACCCCTACTTTAGTGAACCATTCTAACTGTCCCTGAGCGACGGCCGGGCGACCGAAGATGAGCAGGCAGCTTCCGACACTGGCAAAGCCTAGTACAGGATGCCAGACAGCTGGAGTTTTTGGTTGGATTCAGCGTTGCCATTGATTGCATCTTCTGGTCCGTAGTGTGTCACTGTTTGCTGTGAAGCTTCCATCCTCACATACTCATTCACGCCACTCATACTTTGACACCTCTACGTCGCTTCTGCTTTCGAATCCTTAGCGTCCGCACAAGATTGATGATAATCATGACCGCCATGATGGCCGTGATAGCCAGAATACACGCGAGCGGTGCCAGAATAGAGAAAATCGAAAAGACGAAGGATGCCATACTAAAGGAGTGGTTGTCTCCAAGTGACTTTGTGGAGAGCCCGACCTGCATAGCTGAGAGGACAATGGTGGTGTATGCGAACCAAGTGATGAGGCTGTTGATATTTTCGCGCATGAATGATCCATACGTTGTACAACCGCTAAGATACCCGCGTATCTCGCCCATAACCAAGCGGTATATCCAGTTCAGTCGCCCAAGGCGTAGCTCGCCGTATATGAAGCGCTTATTGACTCCTAAATGGCCTTCCATGACATCTGTCGATGGAGTGAGAGCTGAGTTGAAAGGTGCTGCTTGAGGCAGGGTACAGATGATGTCGCTCACGAGCGACAACCACCCAGCCCAGGTTATCTCTTTGGGAATGAGTCCGTGGAAGATAGCTAAGTTGTAGTCGACCTCTCGTTCGATGAGCGCAACATACGATAACAGGAATCCAAGTGCTGTCTCGTACAAATGTTGACGCGGGCAGATTTCCGTTTGCCAAAATACCGGGCAAAACAGGAAACGGGGTAATGGTTTGATGAGTATCGAGGAGGACTTGGAAGAAGACCAGATGAGATGTAAATCCAGCTGTTCCGTCACTATAATCTCCCTTCCTTTGACGATCTGGTAATGGAGTGGCCGGGGCGCTGTTGGAAGTCCGACAAGCCATAGCCAGTCGTGGATCTCGTTCAACCTCCGGACATTGAATTCGATGTCAAGAAATGCGCCAATATTGGTGTTGACGGGCTCAACCTTATAGTTTTTGCGGAACGTTGCTGGTAGTAAAGGCACCTCTGGCTGTGCGATACCATCAGGACTCGAGGTTTTCAGGGGCGCCGTGCGAAACGGCACCGGTAGCTGTTCACTCGCAGCTTGCGAATACATTTTTTTGAGAGACATTCAGTCGAGGAGCAATCGATCGTCTTGTTAGAAGAGAGCATAGCAGCCTTGAATAGAGCGACATGGCGCAATCATGTGGAAGATCAAGCGAGTCGCGGATTCCCACATTGCCACACCGGCGGAATAGTGCGGCATGTTTCTCGCCTAACCTTGTCTCGTAATCTGGGGTTGTTCCAAATTGCCGAGCATTTTTGATATTGTTATACCAAAAAGGTGCACGCCAATGCTGACAAACTGAGCGTCGTCTTACTCCCTTGGGAAATTTCGCCCCCAAATCTTTCCGCCCCCAACATCAGGGCGTATATGCCAAGGCCTAGGGCAGCTTGCAAGAGCCTCCAAACATTCCAATCGCGCATTTTTTCTACGACAGATAGCTAAAACAAAGTGATCGTTGTTTTTCGATACATACTGCAAACTCGTGGATCAAGTGTTCGCGATGGCTTCGGCCGCGAAGGCTCCGCATTCGAAGTTCGATGCCCAGGTTAGTAGTGCCAATCTGCCTCTATGGATTTGCTGAAGAGATAGTCTTTCAATCCCGGATTAAATATTGTATATCCAAATGATGAACAATCGTCGGTCAAGTCGTCGGCCAAGGTCGAGTATGTCACTGTGCATTCCATTTTGAACCTGAATAACAAATACTGGCAGAATCATTGCCATCCCTGGCCTTGGAGCGGACCCTGAATACACATGGAAGAAAGACAAGGTGCATTGGCTGCGAGATGCCAACATGTTGCCAAAAAAGATTCCACATGCCAAGATTAGCGTTTTCCAGTACCAATCACAATGGTTTGGAAAGGGATCTGTCGACGAACGAATAGACAATGTGGCAAACAAGCTGCTTCATGGACTAGATCGATCAAGAGTAGTGGGTGTTGAATACCACACTATCTGAGTCCTTGCTGACATCCACTAAGAACGAAGCAAAGACACCTATTATTTTCATTGCTCATTGTCTGGGTGGCATTATCTTAGAAAAGGCTCTACTCATGGCACGATCCCGTCAAAGAGACTTTCCAAATGTCTACCCCTGGGTTGCCGGCTGCTTTTTCCTAGGCACGCCATTTCATGGCACATCCAGTCAGTCAAAAGCACTGGTTTTGGCATCAATGGCTGAACTTGCTGGCTGGGGTACCCCATCATCTCTTCTCAAGGTTCTTGAGAAAGACTCGGAGATCCTACGAAGTATGCTTACCGAATTTTCTTTCATGGCGAGAGATGCTCAGATTCGGCTACTTTGCTTCTGGGAAGAGAACGACAGTGATCTCGTCAACTATATGGTAAAAGGTGTCTCGTGGCTTAAGAAGAAGGAGCGCATTGTCGATCAAGATTCTGCGACTATTGAGTCATTTGAGAGTCTCTCTCTCATGTCGGATCACTTCCAATTGAACAAGTATCCTGGACCAAAGGATGGAAATTTCACTGCTGTATCCGATGAGATCAGGGAAATAGCAAACAAAGCAGAAAGCATCATCAAGACGCGCCAGAACATGCTGCGGCAATCTCAGGTAGATGACCGCACGTACCATAGCATGATAGACGCTTTGGGAAAAGGATTTGTGGATATTGAAGCGGCCATGAAGGGCTCCTATCGGGAAGCGAAAAGCGCCAAACTCTCATCAATCCTGGAACTTGCCAATTTCCAGCAATGGAGAACCTCGGATACCAATCATGTCTTCTGGATTCACGGAAAGGCTGGAACAGGTCAAGGGGCTATCGCATCTTCGGCTTTAGAGTACCTGAAGCAAGATGTCGACCACAACTCGTTAGTTGCATCTTTTTACTGTGATCAAAGTGACAGAATGAGGCGTACTTTGAAGGGTTTGTTACAAATCATTGTCCGTCAGTTACTGGATATCGACCAAGACCTTGCACGTCACCTTCTCCTGGACTCTCGGGGCAGCAGAGATGTCGGGAGCCAAATATTTGACCCGGAAGAAATGTTGAAGATACCTGCACTGTGGACGGCCCTGCAAAAGATGGCTGAGGATACCCGCAACTCAAGGATATACATCATTGTGTATGGCGTAGAGCAACTGGCTGAAGAATCATTGGGACACTTCCTTGCATATATGGGAGGAGCGATACTAGAGCCCACAACCGCGACCCACAATGACGGAGATTTTCGGCCTATCAAATGGCTCCTGTTTAACCGCAGCGGTCGCCCGAGCATTGAGAAATGTTTGAAGGGCAAGGTTCCAGAGATTGATCTTAACGATGCAGACAACTCTGCTCAAGTGAGTGACGATCTAAAAGCACACATATCTGTGCGTGTGGATGAACTTGCCCTTCCAGCTTCTTTGGCATATTTTGTGAAACGTCACATCTACCTTCGCGCTGAGGATAACTGGATCTATGTCAGTCTCGTCGTACGAGAATTGAGGAATGCATGGAAACCAGGACGCACGCACTATGCCGAGATTAGGAAACTGCTAGAGTCATTTCCATATGGTCTCACCGACATGTTTGAACACATCCGAAAGCGTATTCTCAGCCCACAAGCTGAAGGATATGAATACACAAAAGAGATACTGCGTTGCAGAGTCTTATCGTACATAGCTCCAACGATGCGAGAGCTTGCTGTCATGGTTGGATTGCCTCATGACGACCTAGAAGATCTTGAGAAGCTGAAAGAATACATTGTACGATGTGGAGCGTTCCTTACCTTGAGGGGTAATGACTGGGATCTGGACAACAGTACTGTTGAATGGATCGACATATCTGCTGCAGAACACCTTGCAGTATACGCTAAGTATGATCTTTCGCTGGACCTCGACGATGTACAGCACGGTATCATTGCCCTGCGTTCATTGGAATACATTTACCAGGCCATTGAAGTACAGGATGTATCTGTCGACGATGCCGAGCAGGAAGAGACCGAGGTCGCCGTTGCCGCAGAGAACACACCATATGCAGCAGATACTGACACTGATGAGTCCGGCTCTGATGACATGAGCGATGCATCTTCAGCTCAAGGAGATGACGAGACTGAAGATCTTCTCGATGTCGACCTCAGATACCCCGTTCGTTACTGGGTAGAACATGCGAAAAGGGCGCCGCCCGATGTTCTTGAGGAATTCAACTTTAGCCACCCCTTTTGGCAGAAGGACTCAGAAGCTCGTCAGAAGTGGTGGAACACTATCCGGGAAGTACACGGTATGGAAGGCCAGCAAGATATTTCTTCCCTTCACGTGGCAGTGATTCTCGAATTTCCCGCTTTGGTTGATCACCTGATAAACCTCAACGGAACCCCTAACGTGCATGAGCAAGACTCCTTAGGCTTTCAACCTCTTTACTATGCTTGCGAAAACGGAAACGAAGAAATTATCAACATTCTGCTTGGAGCAGGTGCAGACGTTGATTTCGTAAGCTCTGATGGAAACCCAACAGCATTGCATGCTGCCTGCAGGAATGGCCGTTACGACATTGTCAAAATCTTACTGGACCGTAACACTAACGTTAACTCTCTCTCTCCTGAATACGGAACAGCGCTCTATGCGGCTGTTGGTAGTCTTGATAACCGTATTGTTGAGCTTTTGCTGGATCACAACGCCGAGGTAAACATTACTGGTGGACCGCACCGACGAGCGCTGAACCTCGCCGCCTTTTCTGGAAATCTGGATGCCGTGCGTATTTTGATTGAACGGGGTGCAGAGATTGACCCCAATGAGGAATATTGGTACGTAACGTCCATATTTGAGTCAACACTAGAGCGCATACTGACGAGAGTTACCAACAACTAGGTATGGCTCTGCACTTGGTGCAGCTGTGCGGCGAGGGCATGCTCCTGTCGTCCGTTATCTTCTTTCAAAATCTTGGAATCCCCATCTTCACATAAAAACCTACCGAAGTTTCCTGAGTGCTGCAGCCACCTACAATCATCTGGAGGTCTTTGAGATCTTATTGAAGGATGAACAACGAGTGTTAATTTTGGAACAAGCCTTACAGGTAGCTGCTCAGAAGGGCTACGCTTCAATAGTGGCTGCGATATTGAATCGGGATTCGGAGCTCTCATCTTCTACACTAAGACACCAGAGGTCATTCTCACTAGCGGCTTTTTACGGTAGAACGGAAGTCTTGAGACTGCTATATCCGCGAGGGATCGACCAAGCACAACTTGACGAGGCTTTGTACGAAGCTACCGACAACAAACATCTGGAGACTGTTAAGCTTCTTCTAGAGTTTGGCGCTGATCCAAACGTTGGGGGTCCAATGTAAGTTTACCAAGCACGTGTTTTAATCAAAAACTAACCGATTACAAGTTACGGATTCGCACTAGCAGCTAGCGCGTAAGTATGAGCTGTCTTTGAGACTCTGGTGGATGATAGATGCTTTCTTCAAATACCCCTCCAGTGAGCTGCGAGGGGTTGCATATCAAACCTTCACTTTTGGCGAACCTGCTTCTGGACACTACTTCAGCAGAATGCTTGAGCTTACGACTTGCCATTGAATCATGCTAACTACAATCCAGGTACGATGGCACAATGGAAATCATGAAAGCTCTGTTGGACAAAGGAGCTGATGTCAATAAACGGGGAGGAGACTATGGTACAGCTCTTCAGGTACGTCCCGAGATTGACGTAGCAGTTTCTTAATGCTAACTCTCCAGGCGGCTGCATGGTTCGGCGATGCCGACAACGTGAAATTGTTACTGGATCGTGGAGCCAAAACCAACACTGAACCCATTGGTTACTACGGCCATGAACTACAAGGTACACACCACTCTATCATAATAACGAATTTTGCTAACTTCCCATATCAGCTGCCGTACACACAGGCAACGAAGCCACCATCCGCCTTCTTATTGAACACGGGGCGGATGTCAATGCCTTTGGGGGCCACTTTTCATACGCCATTATTGCAGCAGTTGATCAAGGCGATAGCACTGCGACCAAAATTCTGCTCGAACACGGTGCTCATGTGAATGTGCGTGGTGGCGAAGACAACTGGCCGGTAATCTCACTCGCTGCTTCAACTCTACTGACCGAAGATCTGGAGCTTATTATCAAAAATGTCTCAGACATAGATGCAGCCTGTGCCAGGGGAACGACTGCACTGATCAATTGCGCAGATGCATGCGATATCGAAGGCTTGAGATTTCTATTGGTGCATGGCGCTGATGTGCATATCTCGAGCGAGAAATATGGTACTGCACTTCACGCCGCTGCGTAAGTATCTCATTTTATAGCTTGAGCAATGTTGACAGGAATAAAGCGCCGAGGGCGATGAAGATTGTTGCGAAGTCTTGCTCGAAGCAGGTGCCAATGTCAACGCCATCGGAGGACCATACGGAACAGCCCTGCAGGCCGCTGCATGGGCCGGGGACATCGAAACTATACATGTCCTTGTCAAGGCAGGTGCCGACATCACAATCACTGAACCCATTTCTGGCACATACGGGACAGCTCTCCAAGCCGCATGTGCTGCTGGTTGGTTGGACGTTGTGCAAGAACTTTTGAAGCACAATGCTGCAGTTAACGTCCGACCAGCTAACGGCATGTTTGGAGGAGCATTGTCTGCTGCTGCAGCTGGTGGGCATAGAAAGATTGTGAATCTTCTTATCAAACATCATGCCGATGTGAATGCCAGTGGTGGCCTTCATGGCTTCCCGATCCTTGCTGCTGCCCAGTCTGGCGTTTTGTCCGTCGTCGAGTGTTTGCTTAACAACGGTGCAAACGCTACAGCTTCAGGAGGCTTGCTTGGATCGACTGTGGCAGCTGCTGTCAAAGGTAACAACATTAAAATCGTCAGAAAGCTAATCGGACACGGAGCGGATGTCCATGCGAAGGGAGGCAAATACGGTGATGCTCTTCAGACCGCTGCGATGAAAGCCGAAATCTCTATGATCGACGAGATTCTCGACAGGGCAATCGAGCTAGTTAACCATAAAGATGGCAAGTATCATACAGCTCTGATTGCAGCTTCTTACTTCAACCGCATGGATGTCGTCAACAAGCTGCTGGACGCTGGAGCAGATTTCCGGGTTCAAGGAGGGGTTTATCGGAGTGCCATCGCTGCCGCTTCCATCCGTGGCAACAGAGCTATCCTGGATCGATATCTGTCTATGAAGCCTCCAGATCATCTTCTCGATGAAGCACTCGTCGAAGCCTGTGCCTATCGCCAAGCCGCTTGCGTGGATGCATTGCTTAAAGCAGGTGCTAATGTATACGCTCGCCATCCAACTCGGGGGTCCGCTTCTGACGCTATTGATACACTTGAGGAAGATTACAATTCTGATCTAGAGGAAGACAACTTGGATTCAGACGCTGTATCGAAACATGGTGAAGATGAAGACGAAGACGAGGAGGAAGAGAAATGGGAAGGTGACAACGTCTCGGTATCTGGTCAGACGGACGAGGGCAGTGTAACAGACTTGCAACTGGAAGAAGACGTTTCGGAAGAGGCGAAAATCCGGAAGTTATTAAAGGAGGCTCAAGACCGTTGTAAGCGCAATCCGACCGTCAAACGTTTCAGAACAGTGAAATATGGCCACATGCCACCGAGTCTGAGTGTAGGATCACATCCTCATTCGTCGGTACCACGACTGCCATCAAATGCAAGGCATGGTACATATGAAGCAGCAGATTCTGCAGACCGCTACGGAGTTCCATACGGACAGCACTTGCAAAGTTCATCGAGCCTACCTTATCCTATACGATCAAGAACTATAGAAACCATAACTGAGGTCGAACACGAAACACCATACCCTTCAATTGGCGCAAGAGGAGGTACATTTCCACTTGAAAATTCCACTTACCAGGATTTTGATGTACAACCGCCAGATCCTTTGCGTACAAAAACCCCGGAAACCATTGTCCCGCGACGTGAATCTGCTCCGTTGCCTAATTCGCAGCGACCAAACCCACTGGCAGGGACTGCTATTGCGCCTCAACCCAATGCGCAACCCTCAAAGAAAGGCAGTATCGATCATGGGCTTAAGAGACAGAGCAAAGTTGTTAACCGGAAATCTATTGCGAATTTGGAAGCGCTCACTCGGTATCAGCAGCAACAACGACAGTCAAGCTACTCGATGGATAGGCCACCCTTGCATTCTTCAATCTCCGAACAAGACCATGCAGCAGAAAGCCAGCCTTCTCATCCACCGCCACACCACATGTCCGGCTCCTATGATTCACAAATCAATCCCATAGGCATAAGAAATGAGCCATATCGCCCACCTATTGCGCATCAACAATCCCAACATTTCGTTCAATCTCAGCCATATGGATATCCAGGGCTCTCACAACCGACACAAGGACCGTATTGCCCTTATCCACAAGACTCTACGGCACAACAACCGTATCTATCTTATCCTCAACATGCCGAGATTTCGTCTCCAGCATCGACGCAAGGTAGCCAGTATACAGGAAATAGTAGCCAGTACCAACCTTGGGACACCCCTCCTTCTAGCGTAAGCGGTTTCACCAGCACGCAAAACACGAACGAAAAGAGAGGAAATCGATGGGCGAGCGGAGGATACGATGGTGAAGGATACGACGGCCAGGGATATGGCTGAATAGCCAACAAAAACCATTTCAGTCCACTCGATAATATCTCTATTCTTAGTTAAATCTTTTGTACATCAATTACATCGATACCCCTTTCTCAACCCTTCCTTCTGCCATTCACAGGCTGCGTCCTCAAAACCAGTAGCCCAGAAGAAACTACCTAAGCAAGCTTCCCCTCCCTAATAAGCCGACTCAACGTCTCATTCCCCACTGTCCACTGCTTAAACTCCCCCGCATACTTCTCCACTAACAAATCACTCACCAGTCGCCCAAACACTACCTCCCCCCACGGATTCAAATGCGTGCGATCCCGTGCCGTCGACCCGTTTCCCACCCAATTATACGTGTCAGCGCCCGCTTGCCCAATCGCGTTGACGTACGTTGTCGACGCTTTGTTGAGATCGATAAAGTGCAGGTTGCTCGACGTTGCGACGTCAATTGTGAGTGCGGTTTCTCGAGCAAGGTTTTCAATGACGCGTTTGGTGGTTGTGTTGAAGGTGCGGCGTGTGAGGGGCGTGACGAGAATGGGTGTTGCGCCTGAGCTTTTGACTTCGGAAGCGAAGGTTGCGAGATTGGTGCGGTATTGGGTTGGGGTGACACCTGAGGTTTCTTTTTGGTCGTTGTGTCCGAACTGAATTATCTGTCAGCTTTAATGTTTCTTACTGGTGTTTTGGGAGGCGGCAAGGATGGTACCTGGATTGTGACGTAGACATCGTAGTCTTCCTTGTGGTTTGAAATGTCTTTGATTACTCGGCCCCAGTCGCCTCCAGCGCGGAAGGATGCTGTGGTTGCACCGCTGTGTCCGTAATTTTTGCCGGAAGATCCTGGCGCGACGGTCTTGGAAAGAAATGCGTCACCCCATCCTCCGCTGGTGGCTGTTGTTGAGTCACCGGCTAGGAGCCAATATATAGGTTTGGCGGTGGCATCGCGCAAGCTGCTTGGTGCTGCAAGAGAAAGAGGCAATAGAGATAAGAGGGTAAAACGCATGGTTGGGGCTGCACTATATTTCCTCTTATTTGCAAATCCGACAATCGATAGAAGCTATCGATGATTTAGAGTAGTAAGAAAGGCCCTGCTTGCGACAGCACGCTTTTACATCTGTAGTCCTGTCATATTTATACCGCTGACGGCGGAAAAGTAGTAGGTATCTTCCATCATGTACTTAATTTATGAAATTCATACTAGAACACCACTATACTCTCATTAGTATAAGAACCGGTCCTGTTGTCGGCAGTTCTTCCTAAAGTTATCGTAGAGATACTTGATAATTCGTGCAATTACTCTGGCGGGGAAAACATTGCGGGGGTGCATTGCCGATCGCCAGGAACCTCGCGGTAATTTAATCCGAGAGATCTGTCTTTGAGTATAGGTATTCGTAGTGAAATGTAGGTACGCTATCTGCTTGTAATGCAAACTAGACAGTTTCTAATCAGGAAATCAGACGGCTGTTGCATTGTGTGATTGATCAGAAATTTGGCAGCTCATGAATAAAGACGCCTTAGGGGCTGCAGGAAAGCATTGCCGTATGCATATACACAAAAGACACGATAAGTAATCAAATTGCTTTCATCACCAAGGTAGTAGCAAAACCCCCTGTCTCCTAAAGGAATATCTAAAAAGGGATAGAACTAAACGGCACGGAGGCTAGTTGAAACGCGAAATCCGATCCGTCTCTGGCTCGCCAGGCAGCAATACAACTCAAATTCATTTGGCAGGCCCTTTCGAATATAACACATCTTCCTAGTCGATTCAATTGAATTTTTCAAAAAAAATCCCTTGTTGAAAACATGCTGCTCACTGCCCTAGTATCGGCCGTTCTTCCACCAGTCCACTTACTGGCTTACTCCGCTTTGATTGGAACGGAACTATATCAGACCTTCGTGGTAACGAAGATTACTTACAGGGCGTTGCCTAGACCGGCATTTGTGGGTTTGCAAAAGCAACTTTTCCCAGCCTACTTCAGGGCCCAATCGTTGCTTTTGCTTGCCGTCGCGCTGACACGTCCACCTTACGGACCATTCTCGTCATTCGGAGAACCGGCCAGCTGCATTCCTTTCACAATAGCCGGTGTGACTGCAGGATTGAACTTGGCCCTGTATGGGCCTCGAACTAGGGCTTTGATGATTGAGAGGGCAACGCAAGGTATGTAAAGCTCCTGTATGATTGTTGCTCGAGACCGTAACAACAGGGTTTTTGAGGCGAATTTCCAGTGGTGTGTTTGTACGACATAGGACTAATGCGAAGAATAGCAATACACAATTCAAATTTGCATGGTGGTCAAGGTGGAAAGAGTGAGAAAATGCTTATGCTGGACAAAGCGTTTTCTCGTGCTCATGCAATGAGCATTCATTTGAATCTAATCACAATTAGCGCAACACTTTGGTATGGGTGGCAGCTGGCTTCAAAGCTGCAGTTCTAGGGCTACTATGATCTTCGGAAATAGATGAGTCAAAGAATTAGTGGCTTATTAATTCAGAGGTAGAAGGTGTGCGAAGACTAGGGTCTCACAAACGGTCAACGAGTCATTGTCGAAAGCCTCCTGCTATGTATCATAAGAGGTCTTATTTTCTGGTCTGTCTTGGAGATAGGAACAACAGAGAATTCAATAAGTGTGCTCTTGTTGATGGTGTCTTTGGTGATGCTTGCATCTTTATAATGGAGATGAAACTGTATATGACCGGTAGAGCAACCACGGATCCCCACGTCCCCACTCTAACCCCAAAGCAGTTAGGATGGTCGGGAACGAGTGGGAGTGTTTTCTCCGTTCCGTGTCGGGTCGAACACTCTCCCCGAACCCCTACTTTTGTTGCAACTTCCAAACGAATAAATTTGAATGCAGGAAAACGAGGGACATTCCGCTGCGAAAGCGGAGCAGCCAAGGACTCTACAAGCGTGTCAACGCTGTAGGAATCTAAAAACCAAATGTTTGCCGAGCAGCCAATCCGGTCGATGCCAGAGGTACTGCTTGCTTCACCGTAGCTATGGACGCGAAAGTTCCTCAAAGATGGCTCAATTATGTCAGGAACTTGCTAAGATACTGTAGATGTTCCACTTCTGGAAATGAGTGTGTTTGGGCTGACGCGCCCCGACGAGCAAGAAAGCTACGTGCGCCTTCGTAAGTTGGCGTCCGCCATCAGCATCTCCTGTGTCTTACTCCATTCAGACGCATTGCTCAAGTTGAACAAAAGATTGATGGCCTTGTAGCCAAACTCGTTTGTGTATCTGGAAATGAGGTCACGAGTAGCTCAGCGTTCATTCCACCTACCGTTCCGCCCAGGGTGACAAAGCCGGTTGTCCCAGGAGGCTGGATGTCTATTGAGCCCCAACCAGAAGCACGCTTAGGAAAAAGTTTTGATGATGCTGAAGTTGATCGTCAATACCTCGAAGAAATTCGTGGTATGCATGGCTTTGATGATCGACAGACTGCCGGTCAACCTTCTGAAGGTCCGTTCAGGACGACAAAGCGACTCGAAGATCCCATAGATGATGAGCTTATCCAGAGTTTGCTTGCTTCAGGCGAAGCAGAATCATTGATGAAGGAGTTCCGTTCCATCTCGGTTACATTTCCATTTGTTGTGATATCTCCGCAACTCTCCGGTACCGACCTGCATGCAGAGAAGCCAATGCTTTTCCTTGCGATAATGACAGCAGCGTCGTGGAAGGATTACTCGCAACAGAGGAGGCTTGACAAAATATACCGCACGGAACTCGCTCATCGCACAATTGTCCGTCCTCGGAAGACGCTCGGGCTCGTACAGAGCGTCCTTGTTTATCTATCCTGGTACTTCTCCTCTGCGTGTATGGCTTACAATATGCTGAACATCCAAGGTACCATTTTGTTTTCAGCCACAAGACGCAACAGATCTTCTTCCTTCACCACCTTGTGATTGGACTGGCACTGGACATTGGTCTCCATCAAGATTACCAACCAATTGACTTTACCCCTCCGCTACGGGGTAGGCCTCCACCGCCATCTGGAAAAGAATTACGAGAAAGGCAAAGAGCATTCCTGGGTTGCTACTATATTTCGTCTATGTATGTTCTTCTCAAAGAGTGTTTGATACTATGTTGACAATGTGCAGGGTAGGCGGTGCTTTTCAAAAGCCAAATCTACTCAAGCATACACGTTTCATGACCGAAGCCGCTGAGAGCTTAGGAAAAGAACTGGAGTATGAATCTGATGAAGTCATTAGTCATTTGATTTCTCTGCGACAGATTGAGGAACAGATACAAGACATTCTATTTACGGCTGATACGGCACAGCTGTCACTATCTGATGGACGCCTGCTTATGCTTTTGCGTTCTATAGAAGGTCAGCTTGATGCATGGAAAGCACAATCCTGTTACTCTGCATCTCAAAGACGTGAGTACCTTTTTATGTCTAAGGAATTACCTGGACCTCATTAATAGCACACAGTGCTCGAGCTTTCCTTTTCTTTCAGTAAGACACTGTTGCACAGCGTCTCCCTTCGCCCACATGCATTGAACGCTCCGCCACCACCACAATCGGCACAGCTTAACTCCTTGTTTTCTGCACTGGAAGGTGGCAAGAAGTTCTTGGATACTCTTCTATCTTTTCCAGCTAGCGAGTACCATTTGATATCCTTCTCTGAGTGGATGCGTTTGCCGTCAGTCATCATGACAGTAGCCAGGCTGTGTATGCCTAATGATGAACATGCCGCCTGCGGCTGGGATGCACAAGCAGCTCAAGAGCGAGTGCGTCTTGAGCTGTGTCTCGAATCTCTGTGCTTCCGAATGCAAAAATTATCGACGTACGACGAGGTGAAGCAGCCCCATAGCGACTATTGGCGAGCGATGTGTTTCATGATGGACTTGACGAAGAATTGGTACATCCGTAAAATCCGACCAAAAGCACCAATTCAGAAACCTGTACAGCCCCCACAAAGGACGACGACGGAAACAGGTACAGCCGAAGCCTCGTATCCACTCTCTGTCATGTCATCTGCATGCCCCATGCATGCATCAGAGGCGCAATACCCCGCACTGGCTGATGCGAACTTCACGTGCGAAGGCAGTGCGGAGATGGATGGCACTGCCAATGGGAGCAGTGACCCGTTCGCGCTAATGAGAAGTGCAGATTTCGACATCGAGCAGTTCTTCGATATGGCCGGCGGCATCTGGGGCGACCAATGCTATGACAGCTACTCAGACATGGCTTTTGGTAGTGGTGCGTCATTCTAGCATCTGGTAGGGAAGATCAGATGATTAGCCTAGCGCTACACACTGGAAAAAGAAATTACCAGCCTCGGCATTTGTTACGCAACTCTTTTCGCAAATGGATCTAGGACAGCCCTATACCACGTGTTGTTAATCCTAGCGACCACACCTCTCTATGTAACCCGAGGGCACCAACTTGGTGCACCCATGACAGAGCATCAGCACGGGATATTGATAAGATGGACCAAGTGAGAGGAGGAAATAGTCATACACCACTCGAGCTTTACGCTTGGGCCTACTCGCATACCAAGATGAAATATGATTGCTTCGGACGACTCAACCCCATTCGTGCCAACTCTCAGTGGCTTACAGCGTGACCGAAGCATACCGCAATCAAAGATTCAGATGTCGACGATCAGTACCAGTTCTTGTCAACAGAAGAACGCTATAGACGAAGCTTGGAAAGCGTAGGTGCGGACAGTCTTTACGTTGTGCATCCCTATTTGTTAGCCTAAGAGCTTGGGATAGCTTAGGTAGTAGGGGTACGAGTAGGTTAGTTCTGGCTTTCCGGCAGTGCATGTGGCATGGGTGATCACTTTTACGCTAAGGCAGTTCACGAGATGTCAGGTTAGACACTAAAGACGCAATGCTCTGGCTCGCGCCCCAACCGCGAAAACGGTTCTGGGCGCTTCATGCGCATGGCTTAAGCACTAAATGCCACCATGTGAGACCTTTTTACGAAGGTCACGTGCATGGAGCCCTACACGGATAGTAGTTCCCGTACCGCTGCTTACCATTCTTCGTCGTTCTAAGCTGACAGGTAGCAGGCTCTGTCCAATACCAACTCGCAGCCTCTCTCCATGGCGCAATCCCACCACTCCGCAAGTCAGCATTGCCAGGCACGAGCGCATCTCCCGTGCTTCTTTGACATGGGCCTTCCCGATCGGGCCGCAAGATGGTGGTGATGGTTTCCGCCCTCTGGTTGGCCGTCACAATCTAACTGCCATTGCTGACTTGGCGAGCAGGCGCCGACCGCTAACCGGTTTACCCGGCAAGGCCATCGCATGTGTGACATCAGCTGGACCCTGGTATTCACGCCTTGAATTCTACGCTGTTGACGACGCGTTTTGCTGTCATCCATGTATAAATCTCTTTGTTATTTCCATGCATTACGCGTCTAAGTATTGATTTTACCTCGAAGCATCCTTCGCATTGTCGGCTTCTTCTTTTCTCTCTTCGCCTTTCAAAGAACTGCGCCCTCGATATACGTATCATTATCTTTTTTTGTGCTTCTACACCTGTTATCCTAGGAATTGACAATCGCCCAACATGAAGGCGTTCAAGAGTTTCTTGAACAAGCGTCGCCAGAGCTTCCAGAATCGCAAATCGAAACCGGCAGAACAACCTTCCGCCCCTGCCAAAGCCGACAGTCTCATCGAGACGCCAGCACCAGCGCCGGCGCCGGCATCCCAGGCCAATGGCGACCAACAACAAGTATTAGCTGAAGCTGCCCCTGGAACCCTTCAGCTCGCACTCCAGAACAAGTCTAGTTCCAGCACAGTATATGCATACATCACAGGTCTCGCCCTCGAGCGGGGAAACACGCCAATTTTTATCCAGTCAGACGGCCAGACTGTGTACTATCCTGTAGGGCCCAGTGAAATCCTGCAACCACTCCAGGCTGACGTCGCCATTCCGCTCGGCAATCCCGGGAATACTGTTAATGCCAGAATACCAAAGATCGCTGGTGGCCGCATCTGGTTCAGCATTGGTGCGAAGCTCACCTTCCGGCTCAACCCCGGCCCTGCTGTCGTTGAGCCCAGCGTAACCAACCCTAGCGATCCAAACTTCAACATCAACTGGACCTTCTGCGAATTCACCTACAACGATGCACAGCTTTTTGCTAACATCAGTTATGTCGACTTTGTCAGCATCCCAGTTGCCATAAGCCTCACCAACACCCAAGGTCAGACGCAGAGCGTGCCAGGCATGGGTCCTGATGGGCCGCAAGTGTTGCAGGACAGGCTGCGCGCCCAAGCACAAAGTGATGGGCGCCCTTGGGACAAGTTGATCTACGAGAATAACGGCAGTGCATTGCGAGTTTTGAGTCCGAACAACTTACTTGTTGGCAATCCGGATGCGTGGGGCAATTACTGGGATGGCTACGTCCAAGCAGTGTGGAACAAGTTCAGCAATGAAGACATGATCATCAACACGCAAGCTGCTGCTGGTAATCTGCAAGGTCGCGTTCAGGGTAACGAGCTTCAGCTTGGAGAGGCGGGTTCTTTCACTGCGCCAACAGCAAGCGACATTTTTTCGTGCAGCACTGGACCTTTCCAAACCGGCTCCAACCAGGCTCGCAATGCAGTCATTCCTCGTCTCGCAGCTGCCTTCAACAGAAGTATTCTGCTCAACACACCTGGCAATCAATTTCCCAATGGTAGCAACCCAAGCCAGTACTACAAAGACCCGACGACGAACCACTACTCGCGCATCGTGCATGAGATTCAGAAGGATGGACGCGGTTACGCTTTCCCCTACGACGATGTGGTCCCGGACGGTGGACAGGATGTCGCTGGAACAATTTTTGACGGAAGTCCACAGCTGTTTACCATTGCTGTAGGCGGTAACCAGTAGTGCGATTGCTGCTTTATTAGGTGTTGTTCATGTTTGTCATGGTACAAAGAAGGGGACTTTGTTGTCTGAGACACTGGTTTTAGCCTGCATCCTTCATCGCTGTATACCTCTTCGTTATATTTTCTTCTTCGTCCGAGGATACCACCATCTTCACATCGAGGCGTCGTTGCCTAGCCTATAGAATGTCAGAGTCTATTTGTATATATACCAACCAATCTTCTGCTCAATCTTGCCAATACCTAATTTTGTTAGTAAATGATCCATACACTTTTCATGGTGGGCCCATTTGTATATTGGAATATGACGGCTGACACTCACTAAGATGCACTAATTGACCAATTTCACTGCCAAGAAAAGTTCCACGTGGATGTAATTCACGATGATTACCGAAGTAGGGGCTGTGAGAACGCAGAATGTAATACCAAATGGGTATGGCTTCAACATTGTACTGGCAATACTAGGCAGTGTCCCCTGTTCTCACCGGACAACCATGAATTCACTACGTCAACACACCACTCACTGTACAGTGGTGGATATACTACACTGACTAACTGCTCATCAAACCTGAGAGTATATATTTCTGATACTAATTTATCATATATACAACATTCAACTCATACAACTACAACTACATCAACCAATTTCACCAACACTACCCATATATCAAAAAAAAAACCCATCACCATGTGCAAAGGTTGCATTAACGTCAACGTTGTGGAGCGTTCGCAGCTCCCGCAGGTATGCCAGCAAGCACTAGCAAAACTGATCGAGCACAGCAACAAACTCCTAAGATACTGCACGGAGATGGAGGACTACTACCGCTCGATGGGATACTGCTACCACACATCGCAGTACACTCAGCGCAAAGAAATGGCCGAATGTTCCACCCACGGCGATCACCTAGTCAAGCTTGAAGAAGCCTTCGACCTTGACGAGCCCGAAGACTACCACATCCTCTTCAAACCAATGGAAACTAGTATTGTCGTCCTGAAGGAAGTGGTATCAGACGCCGAGCACATCCCTTCAAACACCCCCACCTCACAACTCGCCAATATTTTGACCACAGAGCTCCAACCAAAACTCCACGTCGCCCACATCACGATCAACAAGATGCACATGTATTTCGGTGCTATAAACTCATACACTAATACTCTGCGCACGGTTAGCTGCCAGGCCAATGGCACTCACCTGCCCAACCAGCACCGCGAGACTCCTTGGCACCACCGCAAGTTTAACGTGCAGACTGGAAAGTGGCAGTTGGAGCGTATGGCGGAGGAGTGGGCTGACTTCCTGAACTGGGTCACATGTTTGCCTGAGACGCAAGTGTGGATACAGAAGGGGGAGGATCCCAGGGAGATTGCGCTGAGGTGGTTGAAGAATTTTGTGGTTGTGGATATGAGGCTGAGCGATTTGAACTGAGGGGAGTTTGGTGAAAGTTCATCGAGATGGGGGAAAAGATATCTTTTGTTGTTAGTTTTGCTGGCGGTATGGGTGTGGTCAAAATGGTTGGGAGGCGTTTTGGAAAAGGTGTTCAAGCTTGCTTTTCAGAACGGGGTTTCGTTCGTAGAAGGAAATAGGTATGGAGAAGACGTTTTTGTTTCTAGTATACGGATAGTTTAGTCTGCTTCAGATGGTTAAGGAGAGTAGATCATTGGAAAGAATTGTTGAGCAAAGATATGATAAGTTTTTCTAGAGTATCGACTTGGTTTCCGCTTCTGCTTGGTTGAATAGTCTCATAAGGAGATTGGATCAAACGCCTTTCGTACTCCCATCTTGGTTGTTACGTAACTTGGATATCTTCCAAGTAAGACATAATCCGGAATGGATCACTGAATCATGCTACACCATGCTTTGTGATTATTGTAACTCTTGATTTAAATCTAAGAAGATACTTGCAATGGGCAAGGGAAAAAAGTACTGAATTCTTTTTTTTTCGAAAAAATGTAGCTGTATATCTACCACGACATGCGTTGAGTACAACTGACACTTTGTTTGTCGCCGGGTAGTGATTCGAGCATCGGAAGCTCGCATCCACAATGACGCATTCTCTCGGCTGAAGAAACGCCAAGCCCACCATTAATAGCCGCAAGCCGAAGCTATTGGACATCCGACGCGTCGGACGGCTCCTTCAACAACAACGGAAGTTCCGTCAACCACATTGCCTCCCGTCACTAACTACCCACAAGCGCATTTCTGCTGTCATAGATTCGCAATGTCCACACAACCAGATCAGCTGGTAACTCCATCTGAAAAGCGGCGTCGTATTGATCGCGTCGCAGCAGCATGCGATTTGTGTAGAAGGAGAAAAGTCAAGTGCGATGGTGAATTACCATGCGCATACTGTGTACGCAAAGAGCGTGCAGCTACATGTACATTCAGCGGTTCAAATCTACGACATCAAGCTCATTCGGTGGTGGAATCTCCAACTATACGCGCCCATACTGACAGCTCGTCTTTTCGTCGCATCCTCTCGGCTGGCCATACGCCAGACAACCGAGAACACAATCTTCATGAAATCAGTTCTCAAGGATCACGATACCAGCATGAAGCCGCCGAAATTGCAACATCAATCTCACCTACACTGAGTAGAGACGACCAACAAGGCGATACCGCGGTCCCTCTGGAAGGCCGTATTCTTCGTGACGCACAAGGCAAACTAATCTTCATCGGCGATTGCGCCCCACTGTCCTTTCTGCAAACCGTCAAGCATCTCATCACATCCGAAGTTGATCCAGGGGTCTCGGTGCAAGCTGCAAGGGATCCTATTATCGAAATCACGCGTCCCCCATTAGCCGACCAACAGCAATGCCCGCCCATTGAGCTGCAACATGTAGACGCCCTGGTCCAAGAGTACATTGCAGCCAGCAGTGGCCTCGTACAACTATTTCAACGCGAGGATCTACTACCGGAGCTGAGAAACTGGGCGAGCAATGAGGCATCTAGCCCAGACGATGTCGCCGCTGCTGTCTTCTATCTTGTGCTCGCCATCGGTGCTCAAGACAAGTTTGAAGGCAAGGCAGAGGCTTGGTTCAAGCACGCACTCAACATACTTCTAAAGTTCATGTGCAGTAATATGAACGTTTCTACCGTCCAGGGCTTCACACTGGTAGCTATTTTCATGCTCCGCGCTTCTCAGCCAAATGGTGCATATTTGTACTTTTGTAAGTAATCGTATGTATGGGTGTTTGTAGGGTCACCTGCTAACGATGGCTAGCGTTGGCTGCGCGTACTGCATACGCAATTGGTCTTCACAGAACCGAAGTCAACGCTTCTTTTGGTGAGAATATTGGATCAGTACGGGATCGTATCTGGAAGAGTCTGCGCGTCGTCGACCAACTCATCAGGTAAGTCTTTATAATTCCCCTCATTTAATGAGGCTTCCATAGTTACATATGCTGATATCTGACGTCCGCCATCCAGTAATGTCTTAGGTCGCCCACCCTCCACATCTGATGTGGACTGCACTGTCAAATACATGAACCCTGACGACATAAGGTCCGATATCAGTGCCAACATACTGGATGCGAGCGTGCAAATTTTTATGATCGTCGAACGCGTCGTTGTTGAAGTGTACTCTCGTAAGAGAATATCTCTACGGATCGCCGACTACGTCTCGAGGCAACTTAAAAATTGGGCGTCTAAATGGCTCGGAAATCTCTCAGACATCACAACTCGACAGCAAGCTCGTGAGGGAGTAGTTGGCGCCTGCTCCACTTTGTGCTCTTACTACTATGGTATTATGCTATTAACACGGCCATTTCTCATTTACGAACTTTATGAGTACATGGGCGCCTCGCTCAAGAATGGAGGCACACCTGCTGATCATCAAGAGAAACGCAAATACGCAGATGCCGCAATCGATGCGGCTTCTGTACTAGTGGACACTTTACAGGGTTTGATAAAAGCAAATCAGTTGCCTCGAAGGATGCCATTAGTAGTGTAAGCTTTAATACATGTCAAAATAGATGTTCGCTAATTGGCCCTAGATCTTGGCTCTTCACTGCTACACTGGTTCTGGCTGTTGGCATTCTCGGTAACTCCGGCCTCCTCTTGGAAGAAAGCTGCAAAGATGCAATTGCCTGTATGGACTACTTCGGTATGGTCGATCATCATGCTCGTCAATATTCGCATGCTGCCCAGTCTCTACTTAAAATCACAACTGCACATGCGAGGAAACGGGAACTGCATTTGCGCCGAAAGCGGAAGCAAGCTTCCTCTGAATTATTCGGTCTATTGCCATCAGAGCAAATCCCTCGAGCCCATCCAATCGAAGGTCCTCAAACACGACCGGGACCCGGTTTGCCATCCTCCACACAAGCTACTCTGCAAAATCCTCCTGCACAAGCTCCGCTTGACTGGACCATCTATGACGCCGACTTCTTTGCTTTACCGTGGCCTAGTGAGAATGACCAAGGTCTACAGGATTTCCTTCAACCGGGTACCTATAATCTGGACGGTGCGTCTGTGGCGGATATACCGCTCTTCCCAATCCATAATCAACAGATGGGCAACACCTTCTTTCCGTAGTTCAATGGAACATGTGTTCTAATCCAAAATTTTCTCAACAAATTCTGCATCCGGACTTCAATGTACGACTTTTGTTTCGCTGGTTTCGTCTCTTGACGTCCGTAGAAATGGAATCAACTTGGTGCCTCCGGTACCAACCAGCTCTTGTGTCTTTGGCTTTTCTGCGACCATCTCTGTAGAGGCAGAAGCGATGTCTCTCCTCTTTGCGTGACTTTCCGGCTTCGCCGAATGACTTGGTATGATGATGTACCTCGTTACAAGAGCGATGTGTTTGTCGCGGAAGCCACTGAGTGCTGCAACTGCTGCGTTGAACGCCGAAAGAAGCACATCGTTCTCTTGATGGCCATTTACATAGCTGCGAATATTCGCAATGGCTTCGACATCGTCCAGGAACCGAGCGTGGGGGCCGGGCATGTATCCGCGCATCTCAGTGTGAAAACCGCCGCTTCTGGAATGGTCTACAGACAGCACGGCATCGAAGAACTGGAGCAGGGAAGACTGCCCATTGGAGCCGCCTCGGTACGCTCGCCATGTGCCCTTGCCATTGCCTTCATCATAGAAGACACCATTTGGCAGACCAGCAGCCGCCATGTTCATGCTGCCAGCCAGGAATGGTCTGATGGTGTGGTAGAACACGTGAGGATCGCATCGTTCATCCATACGTTCCAAAAGTTGTCCAATACTCTCAACGCCCCTCTTGAAGTACTGCAAAGCATGTACCACTGTCGCAACGTCATCCTTTTCGACAGCATCGATAGCACCGAGCATGGTCTCGATCAGTGGACCAGCCCTTGCCTCCATGGCATTTGAGATGATGAAGAACCACGATTCATCATCACTGCCAGTAGCTGTATAGAGAGAGACCATGTTTTCCGGCTGAGTCAAGTCGGCGTCGGTGGTTAATGGTCTCCAGTTCCATAGGTTCAGTGCTGCATATGTGGCGACAGGATGTACCTCGAGATGTTCAGCCGTCCGAAGGAAAGGGATAGTAATTGCAGGAGGCAGCCGCTGAGTATCTGGTTAGTCCTAGTCGTCATCTCAGTCAATGAAGATGCTCTCTTTACCTCTGATGGTTCAGGTCCTGTCCAGATGTATCCTTGAGCCATGACAGCTAGCATCGAGTGGGCTCTTTGCCATTCTGCTTCACTGTCTAGCTGAGATACTTCGAGAATCGGCAATTCGTCAACCCATTGCCGTATTTGCTGGGTTTCGATAAGCAGAGGGAGTCTCTCTACGATCTGTTCCCATGGACGATAGTATTCTTGTGGCAGCCGGGACAACGGTGGCTCGGCAGGAAGAAAGCCGTTTTTAGATATGCCGTACTCCGGCAGTGCAGAGGTGCATGGTAGACTGAAAATTTTGTGAGGGCTCATTGTGAAAAAAAAACAAAGCAGAAGCAAATCACAGTAAGGTTTCCCGGATCATAGAAGGGGTTGAATATGCAGGGCGGCGAAGGCCGGATTTATCGTGGAACCATATTGGTCCACTTTCTTAGACCAAGCAAGTATCTAAACCTTGAGCGATTCCAAGGTGTCGGATCGGAAGGCGGACGGAAGCGCGTCGGAAGCGCGTCGGAAGACTAAAGAAGAAGGTGCTGGGCTAATGCATATTTGCCAGATCAAGTGCCGCAGTCTAGAAGACGTAATCGAAGTAGCCGACATATATTAAGTGTCCTTTTTCTCAGTACGACCTCACACGCAGGCCTTTCAGTCGTCATCCGAACGTTGTATCACACTGCCATCTTGGTCGATCACCATGGACACCACCAGCGCCATCGAACAACTCCGCCAAGGCCAAAAGCCGCAATGGCCCACAAATGCCGAGTCATTCGACTTTGCCCGGACCCTTGACGAGAGTACTGAAATACCGCATACATTCCGCCCTGAATTTATTGTCCCTAGCAAGGCGCAGCTCAAGCGAAAGACTCTCAAAGACGATGCACAGACCACAAACCCAGCAGCGAGTGCAGAGGATGAGGCCATTTACTTTTGCGGCAACTCGCTAGGTCTCCAGCCGAAAGCTGTCGGCGAACACTTGAACGCATACCTCAAGACATGGGGCTCAATAGCTGTAGGCGGCCATTTCACCGCCCTTGAGGACTCGCCAATCACTCCCTACCAAGACATGGCCGCTGCATGTTCAAGAAAAATGGCCAATGTTGTTGGTGCATCGCCTTCGGAGATTGTTGCAATGAACACATTGACCATCAACTTGCATTTGATGATGGCGGCTTTCTACAAGCCAACTGAGAAGAAGCACAAGATAATGTGCGAGTGGCGGCCCTTTCCCAGCGATTGGTATGCGATTGAGTCGCAAATTGAGTGGCACGGACTAGATCCAAAGAAGTCGATGCTTCTCGTAGAGCCAGATGATGGATACACCATGACAACAAAAAACATCCTCAAACTCATTGACGAGAACGCCGATGAGCTTGCACTCATTATGCTTCCTGGAATTCAATATTACAGCGGCCAACTCCTTGACATCCCAGTCATCACTGCGCATGCACGGAAACACAACATCACAATCGGCTGGGACCTTGCGCATGCCGCTGGTAATGTCGAACTCAAACTCCACGAATGGGACGTCGACTTTGCATGCTGGTGTACATACAAGTATATGAATGCCGGAGCTGGCGCCATCGCAGGTGCTTTTATCCACGAAAAGCACGGCAACAACGACCACTACAAGGGACTCAAGGGCTGGTACGGTCACGACAAGTCGTCTCGTTTCCAGATGGACAACAAGTTCGTTCCTACACCTGGCGCGCAGGGTTTCCAGTGCTCAAATCCTTCGATTGTCGACCTCACCTGTTTATCTGGTGCTCTCAGTGTCTTCGAAAAGACATCTATGACCAACCTGCGCTCAAGATCGCTGCTACTGACCGCCTACGCCGAACACCTCCTTTCTCAAATCGCCGCAAGAAACATCAAGAACGGCGAGTTCCCCTTCCAAATCATCACTCCTACGGACCCGCGTTTCCGTGGCGCGCAGCTCAGTGTCTTGCTACCTGAAGACAAATTCGACGAAGCTAGCGCGAGACTGGTGGACAATGGCATTGTATGCGATAAGAGGAAACCGGGCATCATTCGTGTTGCGCCCGTGCCACTCTACAATACTTTTGGTGATGTTTGGAGGTTTATGCAGGTCTTTGAGGAGGCGATCGGGACACAGGAGAAGGAGCAGAGTCGGTCGCAGGCGGCACCATTAGTAGAGGCGAGGCTGTAGAAAGGTCCATGTTTGCTTTTTGAGCGAGTTTTGATGATTTACGTATGATATCATTTACTATATAGCGAAGTGGTGTCGTCGGCATAAGTGGATACGCGGATGGTGTAGTGGTGCGAGAGGACTGCAAAGACCACCAGCATAACATTGTAACTTTAGTGATGGAACAATTCTAGAAAAGTAAACAGAGTGACGTTTATGATAAAAAAGAAAAGCAGAATATCAAAGACCCTTGCCTTGTTTGCAACATATCCCCACCACGAACATAATCACGCCAAGAGTGGAAGTGGTCCATATCTATGGACACATTAAGTAAGCAAACCACACAGTGCCTGAAATCTGTGCAATCAACTCACGCCTCAGGCACACGCTCTCCAGCGTTCTTCCTTACCCAAACAGCCCAAGATGCACACATGTAAGCAAAGCGGGGCAACCACGGGATCCCTGTCCAGCCCGCGCCGATCGTATCCCCAAACGAGCTAGCGCACTATGACGTATATCAGTCTCACACTCGCTGCAACAGCAACCAAGAATACGTACGCAGGAGTCGCAGAACAGGGAGGACCAGGGAATTAAAGGGGGGTGGAGGGGGGTGAATGGGACGGCAAGTTCTACATTGACGTAAAAAAGAAACCCAAGCAAGTTCTTATTACATCAACCTCCCGTTTCTCGCCTTTTTTACTCTTCTCCATTACCACCTCGCGCATCTCACATACAAAATCATCAGCCTTTCGAATTTGAAACACTTGGATAGTAAAAACCGGAAAGAAGCAACGCTGCATCAAGGCTGTTTTTAAGAGAAAAGAATAAGAAGAAAAAAACGAGAAGACAAAGCAGAAACAATGTCACAACACCAAATTCCCATCGTCTTCACCCTGCCGCCCTCCAACCGCCACGACTTCCTCTTCCTAGACATAAGCGACAAATCCCCCCTCAAAGCGCTGAACAAGCAAATCACAAGTCTCATCGCTACTAGTCCGAACTGCACGGAATGTGCGTCTTCTCTCTCCTATCCCCCTTTCCCTTTCTCTCTCCCTTCCCGTCCCTTCCCAGTTCCATCCCCAACACACACACACACACACATACACACACATGCGCGTACAAACAAGCTAACGCGAAAAAAAAAATCCAGTCATGGCAAAGCACAAAGCCCAAGACGGCCCCGCAGAGCAAATCCAAGAATTCAAAATTCACTGGGACGTCAAGGGACGTGAGAAGATCTGGCCCGAGTACACTGTTTTGACCGAAGAAAATATCAAGGTTATTGTCCAGATGCTCAAGGCAGACCCGCGCATGGGTGTTTTGGAAGTCAAGTTGGGCAAGGATGAGTAAGAGAGACATTGTAGAGAAAAGGAAAAAAGAAAGAAAGAATTTGATAAAAGAGAAAATGAGAACGTTATGGTGTTGGAGTAGTAGTAGAAGTAGTAGTACCGGAGGGTTTCAAACGATGATAATATCCATAGTAGCCATATTTTTAAAAATGTATTCATGACCACACACAACCCGAACCGAACCGAACCTAACCAAGTCCCCTTCCCTCCCACGACCATTTTCAACATAGTGTGTTTTTTTTCTAAACCCACCTCGAAACATCCAAAACGTTTTCTTGACTTGAATTTCGGTTTAGGACACACGTACACAATCCTACATACAGGTTAACATCAACGGGAAACAGTAAAAAAAAAGGGTCCCATAGGAATGAGAGTCGTTGTAGGTTTACAATTGAACAGTCGAAAGAAAAGAGAACACCAGTTCGACGCACCAGTTTTTCCTCCAGCGCGTCGGCGTCGCGCAAAATAAAAAAAAAACAAGTCACAAAGTGGAGGGTATCCGTGTCGCGAGCAAAAGAGAGAAGACGAAAAAAAGATGCAGACCACACCTCCGGAAAAAAAAAGAGGAAACGCCTTTCTAGAAGGGGAGAGAGAAAGGGAAAAAGGAAAAGTGCCTGCCCATATGCCCATTTGCAATGGTGGCTTTGTTTCCCCCCTCAAGAATACGCCCCCAGTAGTTAGATAGCATGAGAGGAAAAAGGAAAAGAGGAAAGTCATGGTCTCGGTGACTTGTCCATAGGTTCGGATATCATCTGTTGCCAGTGTACGAGGTCTCGGCTCAGAAAGTCCATCATCTGGGTTGTGGTGAGGTCCTTGAACTTGGCCAGATCTGCGTCCTCGTCTTTGCCATCGCCGTTGGTTGCAGCCGTTGTGAGCTGCACAGAAGGCGCAAGACTAATGTGTTTTTCGGCCGTGGCCATCTCGACCTGTCGCTGCGCAATGTAGCTCTGCATAGCTCCTGCTGGCCTTCGTATATCGTTCCAAGACAGTTTTTGCAGACGCCAATTCTTCGTCTTGATGGGTTTGTTGCCGGCTGCACCGTCGCTGCTATCGTGGCCATTGGTCGCGCCGTTTGTCGTGGTTGCCTGTGGTGACTGAGCCACATCGTTTTTGGGCGAAGTGCCATTAGTGGCAGGGACGGTGTCTCTCGAATATTGGTTCCGCCCAAGCCGGCCACGGGCCTTTTGGGGAGGGCGACCGCCTCTTCGTGGGGCAGGCGCAGGTTTGGGTTCAGCAGCAGGCGGCTCAGGCGGCGTAGCTTCGGTCGCTTGTGGAGGCATCGTAGGTTCTTCAGCGGCGGGTGTGGGTGTGGGCTCTGAATCTTCGGGTTCTATACACCTGTCAGCCAATGGATCATCTCGCCATGGGTTGCAACCGTACCGTCGCCCTTTCTTCGCTCGGCGCGCCCTTTGCGCCTATTTGCGGCTTCGTTGCGTTGGTTTTCGCGCTCCTTGTCGCGCTGTTCCTTTTCCCGCTGGCTCTTTGCTGCAGCTCCGCGTGGCTTCTGTTTTGGCGCTGAGGCTTTTGTGCTGTCGTCTTCGGACTCCAGAACTGGCGAATTGCTTGGAGAGCGCGAACCTGTGCGTTGTCGTTTGATTTCTGGCTTTGTTCTATGGCAAAGCTTGTCAGCTGAAATGCCGGTGGTTTGTGAAGCAGCAATTGAAACGCACTCTTCGCTATCGTCACGACTTCGCTTCTTCCGGTTTCCAGTCTCCGAAGTTGTGCCACCCTCATGTCTGCTTTCTTCGAGTACCTTTCGTAGCACCTCATCTTCGTCATACGCGGCTCGACTGTTCATAGTCGATCTACGCTTCCCAAAGGAATCCACGCTCGCTCTATTGTTGCGATCCTTGTCCTTGGCCGAGTTGCCCTCGGATTCTTTGGAGACGGATGACTTGCGATGCTTGCCATGTTGCTGGTCGTAGACGGGGAGGTAGCGGGAGTATTTTTGACTGTTGCGACGATTTCGTTAGCCATGTTTGCTTTGTCGCGAAAAATCGGCTAGCAACACGAGTCTCGACATGGGGTCTCAAACATGCGACAGAACAGATGAGACAAAATACGTACCCTTTCGGACTTGTCGAAACTTTGTGGAGGTCCTTTCTGCACTCCTCGCAAAAGTATTCGTCTGGGCTGGCAGCTTCGTCCATGATGCCCACGCATCCGCCGTGCTGCCATACCTTGCAGACATCGCATTGGATGAAAAGACCGCCGAGCTCGTCAGCTTGCGCCTCCAAATCGGCCAGAGACATGCCAGCCTTGAGTGTGTCGGATGGCAGGCCCGGGTAATCTTGATAGCCACACACGCATCGGGTGACTTCGTCTTCCTCTGCTATGTCGTCTTCGAGCTCGTCGTCGAGCTTGGTGGGCTCGTCCTCGTCATTATCGTGCTCGCGTGTTCGGCGGCGTGTCAAGGGCGGCTCGGGCTGTGCATCGTGAGAGGGCTCCTCGGGGTCTTCCGAGGAGAGCGAGTGTGGAGTGGACGACTTTGGCGGTGACGTCTGCTTGGTGTTTGTCCGTGACGCACGCTCGGTACGCGCTGATGAGACGGAGGACGACGAGTTGCTGTGTGATGCGCCACTGGGCGGGGGCTGGGTGGTACGGGCCCGCGATGAGCGTCGCGGCGACATTGCGTGTCGGGCAGTCGTGCGTGTCTAGGTGCGACGGGTGGAGGGTAGGTGAGCGACGAGGGAGGTCGCGGGTGGGATGGGGATGGGTGCGCCTGCGAGGGCGTGCGGCCGGGCGTGGTAGGCGGGCACGGGCGAGCAGATGGGGCTGGAGAGGATGATGGCGACGAGGGAGGGAGAGATGGAAGGGCTCCAATGGCACGGCGGGCGGGATCGCGCAGCGGGCGCTCTCTCTGGCGGGCGCGGGTGGGCGTGGTTTGGAGCTGGGAGGGCGGGAGCGGGTGTGTCGAGAGCGGGCCAAAAGGTCGACGAGCTTCAGAGGGCGAGGATCAGATGAATGGAGGAGTACAAGACAAAGCCTGGCGGGGACACGACCATGGTCTGGGGCTCGGGCGGGCGTCTGGAGGGCTGTACCGGGGCAATGCAGTGGGAGAGGCCGAGTGCCAGGACGGACTCGATTTTACTCCTCACGCTCTAGCGGGCAACGCGATTTGGGGTCTGCTCGCTGCAACGAAGCGCCAGCCGTAGTCGCTCGTCACGTGACCCCACTTCGCCGGCGGCCCTGCACCAACCCTGCCATGGCAGCCAGCGCCCGCGCCGCCCAGGCCGGCACCTTCGGATTCGCCTGGTAGCGACAGTCGACGAGCGCTCTGCGGTCCGGCGCCCTCGGCGGCCTTCAGCGCAAGGTTTGGGGCAGAGAAACAGAGAGGGGTACGAAGTGCTGGCAGGTTTCGATGGAGACAGAAGTGCGATCCGCTGCCGACGAGGCACCCGCGCTAGCTCCTTTTTGCCCGAGGGGTCCCGCTCGCTGCATCATCACGCCCTCGCCCGCCCATGCGCCTGTCGTCCATGCATCATCCCACCACAGCGCCCTCCAGCCACCTGTACTGTAAGCCCTAGGCCGTCGCATGCTTTGACTAGGCACTCGGCAGCCTTTGCAGTCGCCGTCGCCAAGCAGTCATCTCATGCTTGGCTAGTGGTCTGCTTGCGGAATCCATCCCAAGTCACGGGAACACGGCTCCCGCCCACGACCAGGATCCACGGTCGCTGCGGCACCCGAGTCCACTTCCTTCGCGCAGCGGAAACCCATGGCAGCGACGATTAATTACCACAAGATTGTTTGTCGCCGTCATGACAAGGGGCCTTGGTTGTGCGCCATCACGTCGTCTCACGTGCGCCCGGCCAGCGATTGTGTGGCTGGCGCTTCACCATTTATGCAAAATGTGCAAACACTTCAAACATTCACAAACAACTAATACCCAAAACACTCGCAGGCCACCCGCCGACATCTCCCATCTGCATATATACATACTCACAACCCCTTGATCTTCTCTTCGAGCGCGCGCTTGATCGCTGGCCCGTCGTTAGCACATGGCTCACACCCACAGTTTGCACATGGACTTACCGTTGCAGCTGTCGTTGGCGTCGCCAAACAACATCTTCGTATTCTCCATGAAGAACATTGGATTCGGCACATCCGCATATCCACTGGCCATACCGCGCTTCATAATGACCACCTGCTTGCTCTTCCACGCGTGCAGAACCGGCATGCCTGCGATTGCGCTACCGGGCTCCAGCGCAATCGGATTGACCGTGTCATTTGCACCAATCACGAGCGTAACATCCGTGTCTGCAAAGTCGTCATTGATCTCGTCCATCTCAAGCACAATGTCGTAGGGCACGCTGGCCTCGGCTAGCAAAACGTTGCATTGGCCAGGCATTCGACCCGCAACCGGATGGATAGCGAAGCGCACATTGACTCCCTTTGCACGTAGCATGCTCACAAACTCAGCAAGGCCATATTGCGCCTTGGCCACCGCCATTCCGTATCCTACTACAATGATGACGTTCTCTGCGTTCACAAGGGCTTCGGCTGTCTCGTCGGCCGTCGTCTTGGTTATCTCTCCTTCGACCTGGGACTGAGACTGCGCTGTTGGTGCTATGCCACCAAACAAGACATTCGTGAGCGACCTGTTCATGGCCACGCACATGATGTACGAGAGAATAGAGCCGGAGACTCCAATAAGAGCGCCGATAGTCGTGAGGAGCGAGTTGTCCAGCATGAATCCTTCGGCGACGAGCGCGAACCCGGAATACGCATTCAACACAGTGATGACCACAGGCATGTCCGCTCCGCCAATGGCAGCCGTTGTTGTGTAACCTTTGATGAAGGATAGGACGGCATTGCCCACAAGACATGCCGCACCGATCATAGGTGCGCCTGGTGCGTACGCCAAAAATGCACCCATGGTTGCAAAATTGGCGCCCAACAGCGAGCTGTTGATGACATGACGACCAGGCAGTGCCAATGGCTTCGAGCTCATCTTTGCGGCCAACTTCAAAAAGGCGACAATCGACCCAGTGAATGTGACGC